TTTTCCCAGTACTTTTGAATTCTTATACACAACTACCACATAGGACTGTGATAGCAAATCTGCGGCATGCGTGCATTAATTCAACAAGTCTATATTTTCATGAACTTTCTTATAATTCCTTATAGTTGAATAATGGTGCATTAATACAACATCATCTGTATAGCATTTCAATTTTTATTCTCCCTGCACTTTAATCCCAAGTACTTGTCTCTGTTCAAGTCTTGTTTGCTAAAACTCCTATAGCAATTTCAAATATTAAGAGAGAAAGGGGTCAACTTTGCTTACTGGAAAAGTTGTAGAGAGTTTTTTTGTTTACTGTAATCTTTGTTTGCTATTGATATATGATATACACTCACATTTTAAATTTTTATCTTGAATTAATTTTGTTTAAAATGAAGACAGGTTTGAATTTTTTTCAGTAACCATAGACATGTATAATACAAACAAATATTCCTCTGATTAGGATCAAGCTACTTTCAGTCATTATGATTGATAGTTCACTGTGTTTTTCATTTAGTCTACCCTACTGAATTGTGAATAAATAAAAAAAACTGGTTTGTAAACTAGATTGAGAGCATTACTTAAATTGTATGCTTTTATTTTGGCTCTGTCTGACAATTCAACATCAGATGTTCACAGCTGTTATTGTTATGTGCCATTTACTATTAATATAGAGATGGTTAGGAAACATTTTAAGTACAAAATGCTCCAGTCTATGACAACATGTCACTTGGAGTCTCTGGCTCCAAATTAATTATGTCCCAAATTCCTTTGTAAAATAGAAGTTACACGGTTTTTTTTTTTTTTGCATGTTAACTATACAAGTATGGTTTAAATGTCCTTCAGATGGAAACACTATGAAGTTACAAAGGCACTTCAAAAAGTGACCTAATGACCATTTTTCACACTTCTGGCCACTGCAACATCCCCATGGTCATGTGATTTATATTTGGATGCTTGACATCTGACTCACATTTATGACCGTTGCAGTGTCCTGGGGTCATCTGATCATCTTTTGCAGCCTTCTGACAAGCAAAGTCAGTGGGGAAAACCAGATTTCCTTAACAACTGTGTTACTAACTTAACAACTGCAATGATTCATTTAACAAAGGTGACCAGAAAAGTTGTAAAATGGGGATAAAACTGACTTAACAAATTTCTCATTTGGCAACATAAATTTTGTATTCAATTGTGGTTGTAAGTCAAGGACTACCTGTACTTGTATGTCTCCATCCAATCTGCTGCTGCTTTCTGATTTAGTATCCCCCCCGGAAGCAGTCTTTTATCTCTTTATCTTCTTTATAGGAAAACGTGAATTAAGAAAGTGGTAGAAAAAGGTGGGAGTTGATAGCATATTCTGTACATTCATAGTTTGCTGAGCTGGAATGTTGCAAGGCTGTCAGAGTTGGTAATATTTCACCCGTCCCCTTGGAAAAGCCTACCTAATGTGTGCCAAGGAGCTCACCTCATCCAGCTGCCAGATGCACGTACAACTCCCAGAATTGGTCATTTGGATTGATAATTATGGGAATGGTCCCACGCATCTGTATTTTCAATGTATCTGGGGGTCAGGGAAAGACTGGAATAGCATGTAACCAGGCACCAAAGCTCTAGTCATTCTTCTTTTATCTTCTTCTCTTGGCTAAGATGCCATTCTGCCCTAAGAACCATCGTCTGTGTGAAATAATGGAGAACGTTTCTTTACTTGCCCCATCTCTTATTCCATATGAAATGACAGCTGGACTGAGTGGGCGCAATGTGGAAAGTAATGTGTGGAAAGGCACGGTGACTCACTGGAGACTGTTTAAAATCAAGCCTTCTCCTCCAGTGTTTTAGCACATGGCTTGTCCTCAGTTTGCTCAGACAGGGCAAGAGGGCCATCTGTGGGCAGGAACGGGTAGGAGAAGAGGACTGAGAACTGAGGCAGAATGTTCAGCATATTAAAATGAAAAGAAATTCAGCTGAGAAGAAGAAACCTGCATTTGTATTTCTAGCAATTTATGAATTTCAGGTCGATAATTTCTAACAAGCAGATTCCCTTTGTGATAGTCACAATTTCTATGTGTAACCCACACATATTTTAGTAATGGATTTGGGGGTGGGGGAGAGAGGTATACTAATGGCAATTGTGAATTATGTATCTTTGATCTTTAGGTAGAAATTAACTGTTGTTCTTTATTCTGAAATAAATGCATGTGAACTTGCTCAGAAGTTAATTCAGTGCGGTATAAACATTTATCAAGCTTCATTTCAATGCACGACTGCAGTTTTAGGCACAGAGACCTGTGGCTGAATCCCAATTGAAATTGGCTTCCAATTAAACATACATAACACATACTTACTTGAATTTATAGCTTGGATTTGCCAGAAAACAGTGCTGCTCCATAATTGGGACAGCAGTGAGGCGACATGGTTTGTCTTAAAGACTTGATTCATTCTTCCTCATTGCCAAATCTTCTTCCAGCAGTTCAAAATAGCCAAAGAAGGCATGTTCTGAAATAAATCAAAGTGAAGCAACGTAGCTGCTTTGTTCTTAGAAATTGGCATTGGTGTTGGGGAATATTATTATATTATGGCCCAGAAATGCTTCATTTTCACAATAGTATCCAAGCTCCATATGTGTGCGGTATGTTCAGTTTCCCAGTAAGCATTATTTTGATGAGGCTACATAAAAACCGTAACTGCTTTAAAGTGAATACTGTGGAACCTGTGAAATACTTTCAGATAATTTTTTATTTATTTATTTGATTTGTCAATTGCTTACAAGATAATAGATATAAGTATAAACATAGTTATGAATACATGAAATGGATACATATAAGAAAAATAAAAAGAAACAATAGGACAGGGACGGTAGGCACATTGGTGCGCTTATGCACGCCCCCTACAGACCTCTTAGGAAAGGGGTGAGGTCAAGACAGTCTAAGGTTAAAGTTTTTGGGGTTTGGGGAAGAAATCACAGAGTCAGGTAGAGTATTCCAGACATTGACCACTCTGTTGCTGAAGTCGTATTTCCTGCAATCAAGTTGCATGCGGTTAACCTTGAGTTTGTATCTATTGTGTGCTCTTGTATTGTTATGGTTGAAGCTGAAGTATTCATTGACAGCTAGGACATTGCAATGTATGATTTTATATGCTATACTTAGATCGGACCGAAGGTGGCCTAGTTCTAGGTTTTCTAGGTCTAGAATTTTAAGTCTGGTGGCATAAGGTATTCTGCAACAAGTAGAGGAGTGGAGAACTCTTCTTGTGAAATATTTCTGGACTTTCTCAACTATTAATATCAGATACGTAATGTGGGTTCCAGACTGATGAGCTGTATTTAAGTATTGGTCCAGCAAATGTTTTGTATGCTCTAGTTAGTAGTATATTACCAGAGAAAAAGCTACATAGGATTAGGTTAACAACTCTTAATGCCTTTTTGGCTATGTAGTTACAGTGGGCTTTAGCACTTAGATCATTAGAGATGAGTACTCCAAGGTCCTTGGCAGAGTTTGGATCATCAACAAGGTCTTGACTATTCAACTTGTATTTTATTTTCTGATTTTTTTTGCCAATATGTAAGACAGAGCATTTATTTTTAGGGGTTTGAAGTTGCCATTTGTTTGACCATTCTGATACATAGTCGAGGTCTTTTTGAAGGGTAGCAGTATTGTCTGTGGTGTTGAATAGCTTTACATCGTCAGCAAAGAGAACACAGTTGCTCTTAATATGATCACAGAGGTCATTTACGTAGAGTATGAAGAGAGTTGGTCCTAGAACACTGCCTTGGGGGACACCACTGTTGACAGGTACAGAATTCGATAGGACGCTCCCAATTTTGACCATTTGTTGTCTGTTTGACAGGAATGCTTCTATCCAGTTATGCAGGTGTCCAGAGATACCATAAGATTTTAGTTTTAGTAGTAGTTTGTTATGTATCACTGAATCAAAGGCTTTACAGAAGTCTATGTAGATTGCGTCTATTGCTTTGCCCTGATCGAGTTGTGTAGTCCATATGCTTTTGCAGTGTAAGAGTTGCAGATTACAGGGTAGTTTTTTCCTGAAACCAAATTGTTTATTAGAGAGTAGGTTGTTTGTCTCTAAGTGGAGGATAATGGATTGGTTAATAATTGATTTCATGACTTTACAGGTGACGCAGCATAAAGAGATTGGTCTGTAATTTTCAACTAGGCTGGGGATGACCATGGCTTGTGACCATAGTTTTGGCAAGGAGCTGGTCCTGAAAGATTTTTCAAAGATTATGCTTAGAGGTTCGGCTATGGCAGTGGATAGCTTTTTTAAGAAGTAAGCACATATTCCGTCCAGTCCAATAGATAAAGATGGATTTAGATTGCGTAGTGCTTTTTCAACATTGTCTTCTGTAAAATCGATATGTATTAGATCATTGTAGTTTTCTGTGGTTCGACTAGGAAATACTGGGCATGATCCATTGCTGTTTAAAAATACGGAGCCAAAGAATGTGTTAAAGTTGTTGGCTTTAATGGTGTCATCGTTGCAGTCTTTACCATTTGGTTCTTTTAGGGGTGGGATGGACCTTGAGTCTTTTTTTTTAATTAGCATCTTAAAATGATGCCCTTAAATAATCTTTATAAAAGGTTTAAGGAATTAAACCAATTCTTTAATTTGTTAAATAATTAATGCTTTCATCTTTTACAATGTATCAAATCAGAAAATCAAAGACTGATGCATATATTTTAAATCAGCCTAAATTATTAAAGGAAAGAAGAGGAAACCCCAGTTTTATTGCTCTAGAAAAAAATGCAGTACTGTTTCCAGTCTTTTTCTGTCTAAGGAAGATAGCCAGGACTTCCATGGCATCCTATTCATATCTATTAGTGCATTTAAGAATCATGATTACAAGTTTGGTATGTAGTAATTTTACCTTCAGAATTGATTATGGACTCTGTGTTGTTTCGGTAGGAACATGGGATATACTCAGCTACTTATCTCCTGATTGTATTATTTTTATTTCTGAAGGTATTTTCAAGCCAGCAGAAATGGAACCATTGAATAGAAAAGATGGCCAGCCAGAAGAACAAAGCAAGGCAGAAGCACCCCTGAAAAGTGTTGAAGGGTCTCCATACCATCGCTGGGTGACCTGGTGGAATGGGATGACAACGGGCGGAAATCTGTATCTCTTTATCCTCTCACTGTCCTTGGTAAGGATTCTATCTTAATTGGGATGGACATTGCTTTCTGACAAAAGAAAAGGAAAACATTGCTTTTGTTTTTTTTAGATTCATACATTTTAGGGGCAGATTTCCCACGTCATAAATGCTGATATAGCTGAAATTAAAAGAGGTGCCGTGTTACATCAGGTAACTCAGTCTTTTTATTCAAGTTAATTTTGCAGCTGCAAAAAGCCTCTGTGCTTTAAAAATAGACGTGGTTATAAATAGAAGTTTATTAATTGAAATCTTGGATTTGCTATTTAACGTTTAAAAAGTGCAGTAACCTCACTATTCATGATCTGTTTAAACCACAGGTTTTCTTCTTTATGTTTTGGTGTGGTGGATGTGAGACAATCCCAGCAGTTCAGGATATTTTGGCTGTCTTCTCCAACCTTGTTCATCCATCACAACAGCTGGATTCAAATTCTAACAAGGTATGTTCAGTGATTTCAGTATACTTCAATGTGGTATATCAATGGTCTTATTGGTAGTGCTAATATCTTGGATGAAATATTAATAATGGATTTGATACATAAAATAGTGTTTGTTATACATTATGAATAGCTTCTCTAGCTAAATGATGAACTTGACATTAGCAGTGTACAGACCTCATTGAACAAATGGAAACAGCATAATATTTCCTGCTAAGTGCACCATAATGTTTATAAAAGACAGACAAGGATATTCAATTTGTATGAACACTTGTATCATTTTTCCCCTTTTCTCAAAAGGATATTTGGAAACAGAAGCTCTTAAACTACATTCAACATCACATGACCGAATTTCTATTTGCAAATGGTACTTCCTTTCCAAAGGTGCTTTTTCAAGAGGCAGCGGACTTTCTGAGAGTTTTTTTGAAGACGTTTTGCTTCTCATCCAAGAAACGAAACATATTCAAAGAGAAAGAAAAAAAAAGAGAAAAACCAGAAAGTCCAGTTGCTTCTTGAAAAAGCACCTTTGGGACAACCATGACCAGTATGACTGAGAATCTCCATAGACATTTCCCTTTTGTTTATACCCAGCTTTCCTCAGTCTACCCTGTGTGCTTTCCAGATCCATTTCAAAAGATCCTCCTGAGCAGATCTGGGGCTCTCAAGGGGGTACCAGAGTGAAAAAGGAACTTCACCATCATGACTGAATGTAACTTATTAGAATTTCCTGAACTTAAAAACCCAATGAACATCACGATTCCGGTATATAAGTTATAAATGCAGTTGTTTTACTCCTTTTGTAAAACTGCCTTATTCATACCTGAGTTATGTCAGTTCAGGAAAACTATTTGAAAACGATATCACAATGATAATATAAAGTATAATTGGATTGCATTTTTCCATAATGTGTTGTAAAGATTTAATAGTTTGGAGTGCTCTGAGCTATTGCTACATCCTTATTCATCTGAGTCCCTTTTCTTTATTCATTGCTCTTGGCTATACCTCTGACTCATTTCTTCTCTTTTATTGGCCTTATGCCACCATACAGATTGGCAGTCCTATCATAATCACTTCCTTTCTCCAAACTCTAATTGTACATCTTTTGCCACTATAGATGCTGTTGCAGGGCCCATTTTCTTTGTCGACAGTAATGCGTTGTAAAAAGAACATTAGCATCAGGCTTATAATAGAATAACAGAGTTGGAAGGGACCTTGAAAGTCCTCTACCATTTCAAACAAATAGTTCTTGAAAACCTTCAGTGTTGGAGCAACCACAACTTCTGGAGGGAAGTCATTCCACTGATTAATTGTTTTAACTGTCAGACAATTTCTCCTTAATTCTAGGCTGATTCTCTCATTGATTAATGTCTACCCATTACTTCTTATCCTGCTTTCAGGACCTAAACTGGAACAATTACAATTTGTCTTCCACCTCCTTCTGCCTAGAAGTATGGAGCTTTAGCTGCTAACAGGATTGTAAATAGAGCTCTGTGGTCCCTTGAGACAAATCTTTCAGACAGGGGTCACTTAGATAGGATGAGTGAGAGAGCTCAGGTGCTGAGCCTCTTCCTAGCCTGTGGCAAATGATGGATGGATGGGAGCAAAATAAGCCACACAAATGCTTGTTTCCTACTGCTGCTGCTCCTACTGTGCACAGGAATCAGAACTGGAGAAGCCACCCAAACTTCTCTGAGTTCTGCCAATACCACATGGTCTAGTAACTAGTTCTTCCTTCCTGTTCCATTTCTGCATGACCTTAGGAGTAACAATGATGATAGAAGTGATTCTGTAGAAAATAAAGAGGATGGTCTTGACAAGAGACAGAAGATCAATGATCAAGGGAACAAGCAGATTTTGTTACTATAGCCCATCTTAATAAAAATAATTTTAAGCCTATGTGGCATCTGTTTCTTGGTCTGGTTTATCTTTTCAAGAGTAGAACTCAAGAGTGTGAGGCAAATTCTTCACTCACTCAACAGAAGTCTATTCTCAAGTTGCTTTCAGAAGTCAACGAGGAATGGTAACAAAGACAAATGGCTGGTGCTGAACAGAGATGCTCTCTTGGGAGTGGACTAATATCAACAATTAATTCACAAGAGTGATCAATGCTATCTTTGTCCTGTATCCAAGTATGGATCTCGATTCCAAAGGATTTAGATAATCTTTTTCCAGCAAACTTCAGAATTATTCAGTGACCAAGAGTAGGTTATAGCTTGAGTAATAATTATGAAGGGTGTCTGGGTTTGGAGAAGACCTCCAAGGACTGGAGGTCTTCTACTACAGCCCCCTTTAAAGTTGCTAATAGTACCTTCTCCAGAAGTTAATCCTTAGCCATTATCTCATCGCAGGCTTTTCTCTACAGAGGGAACCTTTCATTATTTATTTTAAAAGTCAAGAAAGATGTGTTTAATTATCACAGATGTGAAACTAGCAAGTTTTTGACATTTTATCCTTTCCTTGGTTTATTCCCATTTTTTGTTCATATTTCAGAAACCCGTAATTTCACTTTCATTGTTTTTCTGAATCAGTTCATAATATCATAAATGACATAAGTAGCCCCTAGTTACCCAGGGGAGAGCATGTTATAGTTTGATGTATTGGAAAAAGTTTATTTCAATGAGTGAGGAAAAATATTTCTTTTCAAATTAGAGTTGTTAATGTTTGGTCAAAAAAATATAAAATGATTTACATAATTCCACAGCCATCTTCAGAACTATTTCCTACATGACATTTTCTTGCATGCCTTTCTGGGTCTTTCACTATCCCAAAATAACTATAGGTTTATTTTCTTCCTTAGAATCTGATCAGGGATGAAGGCATCACAGTGTCTTACCTCCTGCTGTCTCTGTTCTCCCTTGGCTTGCTACTCATAGCAACGTTGGTAAGCTGACATCTTGGAAGCATTTAATTTCAGTTGAAGAGTTTGCTGAATAAATTAATAATTTCTGAGTTTCCTTAGAATGTTCTATTGTACATTTGGTGAAAAATAAGTTTAAGTGAGCCCTAGCAATGTACGTATAAATTTCCATAAACATTATTCTCTGATTCTGGGAATTAGACAATTGTAGGGTGCCCTCTGTTACTTTTGCAAAAAGAAGTGGGTTTTTAAAAAAATCATTTAATAAGGAGGGTAATTAGTTCTCCCAATAAGAGGACTGATGTGGGTAGTAAGATTAGCTTTGCTGTTCAGTTCATTTGTTCTTTGCAAAGCTCTTATTCACCAGATTTGTTGTTTGATCAAATAATAAGCTACTACCATAGAGCAGGATAATCATGCATATTAAAATGCAAAAGGACGAGCTTGTAAATTGACAGTAAACTGTAAAAGGTTCAAACCACCTCTACGAGATATTCCCTATTGTAGAGCAAACACGGTCAGAATAGGAACAGTGGGATTAGTCCAACTTAATTTTCTATTGAGTTCCACACTTTTTTCCTATTTAATTTTTAATAAAGATCATCAGTAAGTAACCAAAAAGTATAAGGAAAGGTTCTTATGGTGTAAGTTTAGATGTACACCAATATTAGCGAAACATATTGAAGTCTTTACATTCAATAGTTTATATGATCAGCCAAGTTATGAAAATATTTGACTATGAAAAGTTATTAAGTGTTAAATGGAAACCGGGATCAATCTAATTTATACAGTTAAAGTATAAGTTCCTCAGGCCTACTTGATAGCGAAGAACCTAGATTTGATGTATCTCTCATATCTAGAACTTATCTTTTATAGTTTAAAATTCCATACACTACTATTGCGTATTTTCAGTATTTGTGAAGAAGCTGCCTTATATTTCAAGTAACAAAACTTCCATTACTCTGATTTTCTTGAGAGTTCCACAATATGCAAGGCGCAATATGTTTTCTTAAATCGGCCAGAGTGTATGGCAAGTAATCACATCTGCAATGGAAGCCAGTGTCTCGAAATGGCTATACAGTTCCTAAGTGTGATCCCTCCTTTCTTACAGTCTCCTCTGTCCATGCTCCACCCCACCAGGTTCACCATGGCTAACTACATAAAATGAACTCAAGGAAGCTTCTGATTGAAACTAGATTGACAGCATTGTCAAAATATGTTCCATCAAGTGCAAGGGGATTTTTGCTTAAGTATGTATGATCAAAATTACAACCTGAGTTTCAGGAATGCTAAATGTTAAGCCAACAACAGAATTTATTTTTATTTTTATCTATTTGTTAAAATTATTTGCTGCTCATCGCCATGGGGCTATTTGGGCAGCTTACAACAGTAAAACAGAAAATAATAATATATATAACAATAGCAAAGCAATGAAACAATAAAAATAAACTAGGAAAGTACAATAATATGAATTAAAAGATAGGAGACGGAGGAGCAGGAAGCACAGAGGGGGAGGTGGGGTCAACTGATTAGTCTAATTAGTCTAGATTACTTTATACTGCTGTCTAAAGTTCCAGGGGTAAGGTTAAAAGAAACTGCCCACAAACAGATGCCTAAAAAGAAGAAAAAAACTTGATAATGAAATCAGAAACAAACCAATGGCTAGGAAACAGCTATTTCCCTCCTCCCTGCATTAAACTAAGAGTACAGTGGTACATACCTTTTTAATTCAGTGATTTTATATCAATAAAAAAGAAGTAGAACATAGGACATATTTTCTTCTACACAAGCAGGCATCAACTATGGGGAAAAGTCAGCAGGGAACCATGGATTCAATGAAAAAGAGGTCAAGAGGGTTCATGCACACTTCTAAAATAGGGCAATTTTCCTCCTCAAAGTCTGCCCATCCTTATCCTTTTTCCTTATTTAACACAGCGTTATTCCTAATGCCATGTTTTGGGTGGAAGCAGAATAATTATTGATGAAATTGGAAGTTATTTGAATGCTACATGTCTTGCAAAGATGCTTATGTGCAGATTTCTTTAGCCCTTTGTTCCTTTTTGGTTCTACTGGTCTTTGCAGATTTTTGAAATAATACGAAAACTGAGATTATCAGAGATTTTAAAAAATGGAATGAGTCAACAGGAAGCTCTCGTTCAAGAAGCCTTTAACTCTGTCATTTGTGAGGGGGAGTTGTTTTCAGAATCCAAGAACGGTTCCTGATAATGACCTAGTTCACGTGTGGTGGTTGTGCATCTCATGATAGTGGATCATTGTGTAAAATGCATGTAAGCATCTCCGCAACAATTTCCAGGGTCTCTACTGTATTCAGTGGTAATTCTATTGAGAAAACTACAAGGCATAAAGCTGAGTGCAAAACTATACTAGACAATGCTCTTGCAACATATAGAGGCACTGCATAGAATTTTCCTCTTCTCTTCCTGTTCTCTTTAGCAGAACCCATCGGTTTTCTCTCTAGAGAGCATTAAATGCAGCACAGTTTATTTTCCCATAGGTTTGGCGTCTTGTGAAAGCTCCTCCAGACCCCTCATTTCCCCTCCAAGAAGACAGGCGACAGTCTGTAAGCCGTCAACCATCGTTCACTTATTCTGAATGGACAGAAGACAAAAACGATGATGACTTCCTTGATTTAGATCTTGTACCAGAGTCACCAGTTTTTGACTGTGTGATGGATATGAAAGCAGAAACGGATCCAGTAACTCTTACAGTTAAATCTGTAGGGCTGCAGGAAAGGTAAGGCAGCATGTGAAGAAATGCGATCAGCTGATCACAGAGCAGAGGAAGCTTAGCCATTATGAACAACCAACTTAATTTGGACCAAATAAATTTATTTTCTTTCAAAAATAAGCAACTCCCCTCTCAGCTCAATAATTTAATTAATTCTCAATTAATATTTATGAATATACTCTATGAAACCGTTATGGATTTCTCAAACATTATTAATCTTGTTAAAGTGTTGAACTTTCTGGCTATTGAACAAAAATAAATCTTATCTTGAAAAAAAGATCCATTTGTTATTTTCCACTGATGCTTTTCCCAGTTTTTGATTTGTTTTGATAATCAGTGGCAATAAAAGATTATTATATTGTCTGTTGTTCTTCTAATAAATAAATATGCTTTCCATGACCTGTCTTCCTGGGGCATAAATCTCTAGTACAATATTTTCTAGCTGGTGTAGTATTAGGTTAACCTTTATTTATTAAAAAAGCCTTGGTGGCGCAGTGCTTAGAATGCCATACTGCAGGCTACTTCTTCTGACTGCCAGCTGCCCGCAGTCTCACTGGCTGAAGGTTGACTCAGCCTTCCATCCTTCTGAGATCAGTAGAATTGAGGACCCAGATTGTTGGGGCAATATGCTGACCCTGTAGACTGCTTAAAAAGAGCTGTCCCCAAAGTCACATAATCACAATTTGGGTACTTGGCAACTGGTGCACAATTATGACCCAAAGTCACATGATCACCATTTTCTGCCTTCACGGCTGGCTTCCAACCAGCAAAATCAGGGAGGAAACTGTCAGAAAGTCACAGTCACAACTTGTACACGTGAGTCACTTAACAACTGCAACCAGAACTGGTTGTTGTAAGTTGGTCGGGTCACACCATTTCTCACTTTAGGACCATGTTGCTCTGTGATGGAGTTGCCATTCCCAATTAAGGTCATTAACTGAGGACCACCTGTATAATTTTTGGTGATTGCTAGAACTATTTGACTGAAGGTCCCAGCTAACCTGGTCATAGTTTACTGACTGTGAGTATAGTATGTGAAGGGAAATGTAATACAATACATCCAGAAGGCTGAAAAGATGTATGAAGATGTATATCTTGGATTTTTTTTGTTATCTGGATCTCAGCGTGAATATCATGCAAATAGGGGAAGTGAGGGATTCATGCTGATTTGTTTCATAGCCATTAACAGTTACCTCTGTATATCCAGGCGAGGTTCAAATGTTTCACTCACGTTGGACATGTGTACTCCTGGCTGTACTGAACAAGGGTTTGGCTATATCATGTCTCCCAAGGAAGAGGTAGCTCAAGAATACCTCCAGACAGCATCAAACATTCTCACAGAAGAGGAGCTGCACCAGAAAGCTTTAGATTCTTTTGTCCTCCAGACAGAATTTTTTGTAAGTATTTTGGTACCCCCATTTCCAAAATAAGAGTTTATAGTTCTATTGCCCGTACTGGAGCACGTCAGTTCTCACAATGAGCTGAAGAAAAGTATAATATTCAGTGAAATTGACTGCAATAATTTAAAACAAAAACATTTTTTTTTAAAAAAAATGTATTTGTTAAGCTGTTGGGGAAATCTAGTCGGAAGAAAGGAAGAAATATTTTTGGTGCCCTGGATCTTGATTTGGAAACATTTCAAGAATGTCTCAACACCTCCCCACCCCTTCATTTCATGCATGGATTTCTGGAAACAACCTTACTTTTAGGACTTTTAAAACAGCATTCAACAGGCACATTTAACATGCTGTTTGAATCAATCTCTGCATTTTGAAAGTTTCAAACATATCCCAGTTATAGCCGAAAAGGGAAATATGGACACATTTAGGAGACATGACCTTAGTAAGGCAGAACAGCTTTGAAAGGAAGCAAAAGCAAACATTCTTTCTATATTTCATAAATACACAATAAAAAATACATCAGCATACATCATTTGCATCTATCAGAACCAGATTTTTATTCATTTATTGGATAGTAGGGGCAAATAGTAAGTTCTAAAGAATGGAAATGTGACTTGAAGTGTATAGAAAAAATGGCTGAATGCAGGGAACATTCCCTGGTAATGTAATTTCCTATGCTTAATCTCACTGTATTGACTAACAACTTGCACACACACACAAATCTACATATTCTTGCACCTGTTTTTATGAAAAGTTGCAGGTTTCTTCCTAGTAGCATTGCTGCAACAGTGCTTTCCAGCCTTATTTGTATTATGTGCCTACCGTCCCTGTCCTATTGTTTCTCTTATTCTTTTATTTTTCTTATATGTAACCATTTCATGTATTCACAACTATGTATACATTTATACTTATTATCTTGTAAACAATTGGCAAATCAAAATAAATAAATAAATAAAATAAATAAATAAATAAATAGGACTTCTGCATCATCAGAACACACACAGTCATTTATAAATATCATACAGTAATTAAAATAAATTCATTAGTTTTACTACTATTTGTACAGCGGTGCTTTTAATGACTTGCATTCCCTTTGCTCTTGAGTAATGAAGTGCATAAAATTAACATAGATTTATTTGATAAGCCAGAAATATAAGGGGAATTTTTTTATTATTATTTAGCAGAGGAGTAACTATATCAGGTTGTCCAATGAAGGTTATCAACTTAAGTTATTAAAAAGTGCCGGTAAGGACAAATATTAGTACAACAAATATTAGATTCAGGTTCATAAAAAAGGCTCAGCCATAGAAATTCACACTGTCTCAGTGCAATGTGCCATGCAGGAATATTTTAATAAAGAAAAGGGAGAATCCCAGTATAAACTGGCTTTTCTTCCTGGAAAGAAAATAGAATATAAATCCAAAAATAACAATATTACAGTTTAATCCCATTCATATTAAACTAAAATAAAAGGGCTTTAAATATATCTCACAGCTCCATCATACTTCCTTTAGTACTCAAATTCTCTAGTTCACTGGTTTTGAATCTGGATTGAATAATATTCTTTCTTTTTTAAAAAAAGAAAAACACTTTCATTTTTAAGTGAAAAGCTGGTAGGATTTTAATATGTCTAATATTTCTGTGATGTATCTTTCAACAGGAAATCCCAATGAATTTTATTGATCCAAAGGAATATGACATTCCAGGTTTAGTCCGAAAGAATCGTTACAAAACAATTCTCCCAAGTAAGGACATAGAAATTAATTTTTAGTACAGAAGCATTTTGAACTATGTGTTAAATGTATATGTTTGTGATCTTACGAACAGTTTTAAACTTGATCAGATTGGTCATAGTGGTGATTTGTGGGTTATGATAGCTATTTCCGAATGTCAGGAAAGATCATGAGTTACAGAAGCATTTTGGAGTTTTTCACCAAATTCCCACAAAGAATATGGATTAAGGTCAGCAGTCCAATACAGGGAGTCCTGGTCTTACAACAACAATTGAGCCCAACATTTATATTGTTAAGTGAGAAAATTGTTAAGTGAGTTTTGCTCCATTTTATAACTTTTCTTGCCACATTTGTTAAGTGAATCACCGCAGCTGTTAAAGTTAGTAACATGCTTGTTAAGTGAATTTGGCCTCCCCATTGACTCTACTTGTCAGAAGGTTGCAAAAAGTGATCACATGACCCTGGGACACTGCAACTGTCATACATATGAATCAGTTGCCAAGGGTCTGGATTTTGATCACATGGACATGGGGATGCTGCAACGGTTGTAAGTGTGAAAAACGGTCATAAGTCACTTTTTTCAGTGCCATTGTAACTTTGAACGGTCATGAAATGAACTGTTGTAAGTCAAGGACTTACCTGTACCTGCTGTCAGGATTCTAGCAGTTACCCCAATTAAATCATGAGTCTCGAGCCAAACTTCCAAAACTAAACAGGATTTATTGGGAGTTAACATGCCGGCACGACCTGGGTGTAGCCGACTCTGAGACACATAATTCACTGTCACCCTTGACCCTGGCTTTCCCCCTACCCCTCTGGGTGTATCATAATTCATATTCTCCAGTGAAACACGTCAGTAGCCAAGAGTCATCAGTCATGTTCTCCAGTTAGATTTTTGCCCAGCAGAAGCTTCAGTCACCTAGTTACAATCTCTGAAAAAAACTATGCATGGAATGCACTTTTGATTCCAAGCTGCCGCACTGCTCTTTCAAAACTCCTTTCTCCCCTCTCTTTCTGTTGGCAACTATAAAACGGCCATAAAAATATTTTATGAGTTGACACCTATGACATTCCCAGGCAGTAACTATGAATCTCACAAATTGAATGTTGAGTGACTTCAGTATCTCTCAGCGCTTGAGAGATAATTTGGTCAAAATCTTCTGAGATTTTACTATTTCATACCATTTTGACCAATTGTTAGAATTTCTGTTTTGGAGGGATCCAGGGTTATTGTGTTGGACTGCATTATGTTTCCTGATACAGAAAATGTTACATTGGATGTTTGTATTTACTATTTATCTAGTCTTAATAATTGTTACGATTATTTTGATGAGATGGACTAAAAAGTTATATCAACTGTTTAAAATGCTTCCTGAGATATGTTTTTCTTCTGTTTGAAATATTTCTGTGCACTGAAACATTCAGTCTGTCTTAATACTTTACAATTGCAATTTCATTCTTTAAAAAAGCTTAAAAGCAGTTTTCAATTAGAAAAATTGCCCACAAAACGGAATACGTTGTTCTGAAAATAAAATAAAATGTTTAAATTTTTCAAAAATAGATGTTCATTCCAGCTAGAACGGAAAGATAAATAGGCACTTAACTTAATGATCAGTTAGTTGCTTGCAGCATTATAGTTAATTGCAGTTAGCGAAAGAAATGATAATAGTCTTTAATTCAGCTAATGTATACTGTATTTCTTTTGCAGATTTACAGATTTGTTGTGGGTAATTTCTTTTAAGCCTTTTGTCTCGAAAATTCCACCCTAACCATATGAAAATGGTTGACTTCAGAAAGCTCATTAAAAAAGTTATTGCTCAAAAGCAGTGCAACATTAAATCCTATAGAGTTATAGCAGATCTCTGCCTTTGCACTGGCATTTAGACCAGGCTACATGCAACATTAATAATGATTAGTTCTGCAATAAGAAAGAACACTGAATTGTGAAAGGCACTGCAGCACCCTGCTCCTTCAGAATTGCTATGCTCTGTTCACTGCCACAAAATGTGGTAAAAATATTGACTAATATGGATTCCGGCGGGAGGGATTAGAAAGGGATGTTAGGACTCTTAATGGGTACCAGTAATAGCATCTAAATACAGCCCTAGGGTTGTATCCCACTGAATATTAGCTGTGGGTGAGCAAAAGCAACAAATGCTTTCTCCAGGACATCTGGATTGTCAACTGTGGGAAGCAGAACTCTGAATCAGGTAGATCTTCAGCTAAAACTATCAGGGTCGCTCTTGTGTTTCTTCCAACCAAACCTGTGGCCAGTTCTCAGAATTCTAGTTTTGAGGGTCTGTTGTGTAATATTTTTGTACGATTCAGGCTGGAACAGAGAGAAAACCCCTTTTTGTTCCTTCCAATCTATAACTCATCATTGCTGCTTTCCATTTTCCAGATCGTCACAGCAGAGTGTGCCTTACCTCAGATGATCAAGACGATCCCCTCAGCTCTTACATTAATGCTAATTACATCAGGGTAAGACTGGCAGTTCCACAGAATCTGTTCTAGATAAGTGGTTTTGCTAGGCCTCAACTATTTTTCAATAGTTGTAGAATTCCACAATCATTTCAGTCCTTCCAACATGCTGACAGAGGCACAGATTCAAATCTCAACATTGTAAAATATATATGCGATGCTTTAAAGTGTGATTTGCTAGCAATCTCTGATAGCGAATGACAGTCATTTTTACCACCATAATCTTTAGAATCCAACAAGGCCCCAAAATATGGTGCCAGATGTAGCCCTACCAAATGAATTTCGGCTTAACTATATATCTTACATAGCATAAATTGCTCCTATTGTCATAGGAACCATTAGTTTTTGTATAAATCAAAGTTATGCTGCTTGTGCTTATTTGTTTCACTTTATGTGAAGTGTGAGTGTGAGAATAGTTCTTTCTAATTTACTAAACAGCTTCTGAATGAAAACTGGAGGACTGAGGTATACGTACATTTCAGCACTCATGAACCTTGTTGGGTTTTGTTGTTGTTTTTTTGCTAGGGCTATAGAGGAGAAGAAAAGGTGTACATTGCTACTCAGGGACCCATAGTTAATACTGTCAGTGATTTCTGGAGAATGGTATGGCAGGAGCATTCTCCAATCATTGTCATGATTACCAATATAGAAGAGATGAATGAGGTAATGCTGAATCTCTATTTTCTATTTTTTTAAAATTCTGTTTTGTGCCTTCAGTGTATTCCTGAATAAAACATTATTCCATTCATAAAACGTCTGCTTTTTAACATCAGTAATCAAGGTAAAGTTGGAATATAGTATAAAAATTCAAAGGTCCCTTTTCAAAAGGCAACTGGACTTCCTTTGTTTTTGATTCAGTTCTGAACTGAACTGAAGAAGCTTCTTGGATGAGAAGCGAAATGTCTCCAAGCAAAAACCAAGAAAGTCCAGTTGTCTTTTGAAAAAGCATCTTTGGGACAACCATGACCTGGGTGACTGAGAATTTCCATAGATGTATACTTGAGGCACTCCTGAAGTGCATTTCCTATTTTTCTTTTGAGAGTAAAGCCTTTCTTTTGAAATGTTCCTGTTACACATGGATTTTAATTTTTTCATTAGGAAAATGTGATGCTTGTCCTGTTAGTGCCTCAGCTGCAAGGATGAATACTGATCAGAATGTGATTGCGGTAGCAGTAGCAGCTAGTTATTCTAGAAAGAAACTGACAAGTACATGAGCAGTGATGGGCTAATGCCATGTTTAAGGCCCTACCAATAGAGTATCCTGCCAGCAAATTTTGTGGCCCTTGATTTCATCTTGAAATCTTGTTTAGTTCTGCGTTAGCAACTTAGCATGTATTTTGAATTGTCTCCTTGCTGCCCTTTTCAATTGAGCCATAAGAACCTTGAGCATCTTAAGATAGCACATGAGGATAGCTTTAAGAAAACCAAAGTTTAGTTGGCAAAATGTTTGACCAATCATCGAGAAGTAGCGTTAAGTCAGGCTCTTGCCAATCTAGAAAGCTTTTGCCATGTTTTCATTCTATTTGTCATGATTTATAGCTGCAACACTATAGAGTTGCTACAAAGGAAATGGAAATCCTACACATCTCTGGAGATCTCTGTACACAGTTCTCCCTTATCAGAGAGACGTGGCTTAATGAAGTCATTCATTATTGTTCAAGACTCTGGGACGCTTCAAAATTTTTCCATTAAAAAAAAATTGTGTTGTGACTCAAATATAAATATAGACTGCAAGAAGAATATTTGTGTTCACGCTATATATGTTAATTCTAATAATGCAAAGATTAAGGCTTCAGTACTCTAGCACTCTTATAAAATGTAATGTGAACTGACAGACAGCCCACGGAAATGCGTGGGTGTTCTTCATTTCAGCTGCTCCAAGACTGAGCTATAGATAGCTACTAGCACTTTTGATAGTGTGCGCGCTCAACCCCACCCCCAATCAAACATACCCAATGGAATAATGAAAGAAAAGGATTCTGTCGGTTCATCACCAGGATAGTTCTTCAGCATAGAACAGAATGAGACATAATTTGGTATAGAAGGAAAAGCAAAGGAAACATAGATTGTGTTGAAAATGGGCCAGATTTACTTGGGGGCTATGCAGGAAAAAAAAAAATCCCCCAATTCATTCCTATGGGGGATGCAATTGAGAAGTGGTTTGGATGGTTTATGAATATTGCAATCCAAGCCCGCTTCCTCCTAGTCACATGGCCCAGGTCATTCAAAAGCAGCCCATCCTGTGCATCTCCGTGCACACTTACATACAAAAACTGATAAAACATAAGGAAACAACAGAAACACACACACACACACACACACGGATACAGCACAAATGTACCTGATTAGGCCTGACAAATCCACTTGTATGCATACACATGTAGGAAATGTGTGCCTGATTAATCCATAGAACAGAAAGTACACATCACAGATATACAAAGAGATGAAAATGTTTCTTCATTACAAAGAATACAGATAGCCCCTATAGCTACTATTAGTTAAGGGGTAGAAAAAATCTGGATGCTTTTCCTACTTCAATAAAAATATTGTTTGACAGTGGACAAATGTGATTATAGAATGGGTAGACTCCAGCAGATGGGAGGACAAAACTGAACATTCAGCAGAAGAAATAGTTGGCATTATGCGACAATAATATTTCTCATCTGCCTGTCAAATTCCACATCAGCTGCAGTTTTCAGATCATCTTCAAAGCCAACCCATATAGAGGACATTATAGTTATCAAAATGATAAGAGCATTAATGAGTACAGATAGTCCTGGGCTTACAACCATTCATTTAGTGACCATTCAAAGTTACAACAGCACTGAAAAAAGTGACTTATGACCATTTTCACACTTAAAACCATTGCAGTATCTTCGCTCCCTCTCCTTCACATATTTTAATCCTCTACTTTCTATTTTCTTCTCTATTCCTTGTTTCTCTGAGTCTTCTTTTCTGGGAAGTAAATGCTTGTGGACAGTTCTTTTTTTAAAAAAAAATATTTGGGTTTTCACAAAAACAAAATACAAATAAAACATATTTTTTGAAAATTGCATGGTCCCAGGTTATCACTTCTTCATACAGACACAAAACTCAATTTTATGTTCATTTTTATATTCTATTCCATATCTTATTATCATTTTATATTTTCTACATAGTTTTTCCCCTCTTCTAATTTTCTCAACTTTGTTTTGATTATCTCAATTCAAATCATATTTATACTTTTGTCTGTCCTGTTACAATTTCACATTATCTTTTCTTATTAAACAAATTTTTCCCTATAGTTACAAATTAGAGTATGACACCTTTATATCCTTTAATTTTATCCATTCAAGCTCTTATTTAAGCTTCAATGTATAGCTTTAAGATTATAGCATTCAATATAATACATAACTTCCAATCGAATTCTGCTTGGGTACATTCTTAAAATAGACACTATATTCTTAAAAAGAAAAAATTATATATATATATGTAAATAAAACACACTCCATTCCAATTCAATTCTATCATTAATATGCATTAAAATCTTAACATCTTTAACATTTCTTTTCAGTTGAATATCATACTTCCTTGGGAACACTTATAAACTTTCCATAGTTAATTCTTTTTTTCCCATATTTCTCACTTATATTTTTATAAATCATTAGTAATAATTAAAAATGTTCCTTTTAATTCTCTCAATCATTTTAATTCATTTATTTATTAACAAACATCCCACTGCATTACAATAAATATTTTATCCATCATCATATTTTCTAAAGTTATTTCTATTTGTAATTTAACAAAGCTATCTTATGTACCTTTGCAAAATCCCTTTTACAATTAAATTTTCACCCATTATCTCTAAACAAACTTATGGTTACAATCCTTATATCTTTTCCCTGTTTCTCCATTTCTTGTTTCTGTCTTTTACAACTTCTTTTCCTTGCCTTCTTCTCCCTCCCCTTTTTACTCCCTCGTCTCTCTACTTCTAACTCTCTCATCTGTAATCCCCTCTTCTGTTGCTTTCTAATATTATACTTATCTTTCAAATTGTTCTTCTTTTTGGTTGTTTTTTCTAATTTTAAACCTTTCACTCTCTTTCCCCCCTTTTCTTTTTTCCCCCCACTTAAAATTATTTGATCATTAAAGATGGCTTCTTCTTTGTCCCAATCTTCTTGTTCTGCAAGCGTTTCTTGTTGCTTCTCATAGTTCCAGATCTCCATTTCTAAGAATTGAAACACGAAGCCAAAAGAACTTCTCCCTTCTTGTGCATCTTCTTTCCATTTTTTAAGTTCCATTTTCAGTTCTTCTAAGAGTGATACCATTTTAAAAACTTTTAAACAACCACCCAGTTAATTTTAGTCATCTAGATGCAAAAACCAAAAATCACCAAGTAATCCAAATAATCCAAGGCTGTTTCTACTTGCTTCTTTTTTCCACCTTCTCTTCCTGGGGTTCTATTATTTTGTTACCAAGTTTCCATTAAAATGTATCTTTGAGGAATCTTGTTAAAATTTCACTGTAAGTTCCTTTTAATTACAGTTCCATTCCTTAATTCCAGGCAGTCTCCTCCATTTTTCTAGATCCTGCCCTTCTATTCTTTTTTTTTCTCCTTTCCAGCTTTTAAAAACTTCTAAATGTCCAGAAATCTTTATTTATCCCTTTGACTTTTATTTTCAGCTTAGATGCCTATTAATGTCAAAGTGGTTTTTTTTTTCAGTTTCTTGCTTAAGTCTCTTAGCTGTCAGTATAAGGAAGAAAAGAAAAAAAACCTAATCCTTTCCCTTCTCTCTCTCCTTCGCAGCTTCAAAATCTTCTTAGGGAACAATGTTGTTAAGTTTAAATTCCAGGGTACCTTATTTGTTGCTTTTGCTGTTTGACCCAGTCAACCAAAACTTTCTCTTCTTATCTTCCTCCTGCACATTCTTTTCTGGTCGAGTTCTTCTTTGTGGTGGCCATTTCTGACCACCGCTACAACCGCCTTCGGGAAAGGGAGTAATGGCCAGCTGGGGAGGAGAAATGCGGCTTTCCTCAACCCTGCAGGCAGTCTCCCCGCTCTTCACCACCTCTACGGGGTGGCTTAGCCCCGAAACCAGCCGGCTCGGGGTGCTCCAGCGGCGAGCACGGATAGAAGCCTCGGAGAGACAAGGTTTCGGTCTGTCGCCGAAGAAGCTCAAACCAGAAGTCTGGACAGTTCTGAATTGTCTATAAAGTTCTTTCTTATATCCTTGCATTATACATATGACAGTGATAACATAAATTTGTTTTAAACAAGTTCCTATAAATGTTCTAGGCTTGCTATCTGTATCTCATTCTTCCAAAAATCAAATAGCTTCAGGCATGATGGTGATTTTCTATTATAGTTTCAAATGGGTCTAAATTTAATTTTGTTGGTTTTGAACCCTGAATCTTAACATTTGAATTTAATCTTGTCATCATCAAAGTTAAACTCTGAATTGAAACTTGGCTGCTTTTCCAAATCCCTACTGGTTTCTTCTGTTACTGTAATAATGACATGAGAAAATTGAATGTGATTGGGTTTTCTCATTTGTGCAGTTCTTAAGCCAAGAAAAATATTGAAAAATATATGGTTTAATGGGGAGTCGGGGGGAGACAGTCAAACATTCTGACTCAGGTAAAATACCACTTTACATCAGTTAATATGTTTATTTACAGCATAACTGATTTCTGAAAACATTCTGCAATAATTCAAATGTACAGTATACTTTTCTTAAGTTTAACAGAGCACATTTACTTTCTGCAGACTCCTGCCTTTATATCTGTGATTTAATTTTTCCCTAGAAATGTACAGAGTACTGGCCAGAAGAGCAAATTACCTATGAAGGAATTGAAATTACAGTTAACAGAATCATACAAGCAGATGATTATCGGTTAAGGCTTATTACCCTAAAGGTAAGGTATAAAGTAAAGGATTACTCATAGACAATTCAATAAAAAAACATTTGAAATATTCTTTTCATGATCATGATGTTCTTTCTAAATTTCATTCAAGTACACAGCACATTGTTGTAGATGTGCAGCTTGGGATCCAAAAGTTATAGCCTAACATATTTGCAGAGCTCCAGACTGAAGGAGGCTTTAGTCATGTTGATAGGCCTCTTAGAAAGAATACGTCTAATATGAAGGCCATCAAGCTCTTTGTAGAACAATTAGAATTATGAACCATTCCACTCAACTGCCTACAGGCAATTTATTACCATGTGTTTTCTGCTTTTATCTATTAAAAGTCTTCCTAAATGTACTGGCCTTACAACAACCTTAGTATTTGTACCATATCTTTATTTTTAACAGATTCCTATATTTGAGCAGGCTAGACATTGTAAATCAGGTCTTTAAGAACTTTGGTGTGACTGGTATTACACCTATGTGGTGACCACAATATGGAAGTACCTATACTCTATATTTATAATTCATGCCTTTCCTTAAAACTATTTCTGTAAAGTGAATTGAGTACAGAAACAAAATAATAATAATAATAATAATAATAAATTACAGAATTATCTATTATTTTAGCAGTCTTTTTTGCCTAGAGAAGTTGAATATTTCAATATTTACCCATTCTAAAAACCAGCTAAATATATATTTCTAATATGTATATTTCTTAGCAAAGTCCCTCCCCCAACCACCACCCCCCCGGAATATTGAACTTTCAGTATTCAAAAATTCCTCACCCAAGTAATCTAAGGTATTGAGTCTTTCAGCAGAAACCTGCAGTTATTTTTTACCTAAAATTTAGAGTGCAAATCAATGAATTATATGGTGCCATATTTTCAGGAATCTTCAAACAAATGCCAGTTGATCGCATATAGCTTCAACCTCAACAATACATGAGCACACAATCGATACAAACTCAAGGTAAACTGCACAAAACTCGATTGCAGAAAATACAACTTCAGCAACAGAGTGGTCAATGCCTGGAATACTCTACCTGACTCTGTGGTTTCTTCCACTAACCCCAAACACTTTAACCTCAGACTGTCTACTGTTGACCTCACCCTGTTCCTAAGAGGTCTATAAGGGGCATGCATAAGCACACCAACGAGCCGACCACCCCGTCTTAATGTTCCCTTTTATTCGTATCTATTTCGTGTATTAATAATCCTGTTTATACTTACATATACTTTCAAATGCGTGCTTGACTAAATAAATAAATAAATAAATAGAGGAAAGGTGTTACAAGTGTGAGTCATTCAAAATTCTTACATTTGAAAATTCTGGGCTGCTTTTTGTGATTCCTCTAATGAGAGATGTTTTCCATGTGTTGAATTTCTAATTCTCTTGCTCCCGATTTTCTTGCTCTCTATCTTGCAGAATGGTGAAGAAACAAGAAATCTGAAACACTACTGGTATACATCTTGGCCAGACCAGAAGACCCCTGATCAAGCACCAGCCCTGCTCCAGCTGGTTCAAGAAGTGGAAGAAGCCATGAATCGTGCAGAAGAAAAGAATGCGCCAATCATTGTTCATTGCAGGTAGATTATTAAACATTGTTAGAAAGAAATGAGGGGGGGGGGAATGATACTTAGGTAATTTTCCTATACCTCTGACATTCACTTGAAACTTCTTTTACTTTTAATGTTATACACAATACTGAGTTTATCTCTCACTTTTTTTTAGACACACCTTTTCTATGTGTCCACTCTTAATATTCTAGCAAGGAAACATCCCATGCATCTAAGCTGGTAGAGCCCAGAGGAACCAAAATTTCCACATTGGGATTCACAGTAACTAGGACATGACCTGACTCTTGTGTGCCTGTTACATAGTGCAGATGAACCATGCAGCCATTTCATTTATCTGAAATGGTACAGGGTTCTGCTTGAGCAGAGGGTTGGACTAAGAAGACCTCCAAGATCTTTTCCAGCTCTACTCTTCTGTCTGTTATCGTGTTTTAATAATAATAGGCTTATTGTTTATTTTTAATTACCAGTCCTGGATCCGGTTCACCATGGTATGGTCTCTGCCCATCATTCTTCTCTTTTCCCCTATTATCCAATGTAATGTGCTGCAGGTACTACAGAGATATTATTTTACATATTAAAAATATGTCTCAATCATCAATTACAAATGCAAATCAAATATTAAAGCATCCCACATAAAGAGCTCTGTCATACCACAACCACTTGAGGAGGATTGCCGTCCCCAGCTAAAAAGCAAATCTTTCCTTTGAGACAATGTCACCCAGGACTAATTAATTTTCAGAACTTGCTGGAACAGGGGTCGTCAACCTTATGGACCTTAGGGACCACCAAACTCATAATTTTAAATCCCAGGGACCACTAACTGGTTCTGTGGGCGTGGCCTAATTTGTGGGTGTGGCTTGCTGGTCATGTGACTGGTTGGGCATGGCTTATATGTAAATATTATAAATATTTATATAAATATTGAAATTTTTATTAAAAAAAGAGCAACTTTTACCCAAAATCAGGCAAAGCAGGCAGGCAGATTGAGTTGCTCACAGAATCACAGATTCATTCAGAGATCTATCTATCTGCCATTGGCGAGCTCAATCTGTTACATAAAATTTGCTTGCAAGCAAACTCACAAAATCAACTCACAACACAATATTTATTATATACACCATGTATGTACATGGTGTATTTTTTTTTTAAAAAGAGCAACTTTTACCCAAAATCGGGCAAAGCAGGCAGGCAGATTGAGTTGCTCACAGAATCACAGATTCAGTGATCTATCTATCTGCCTTCGGCTAGCTCAGTCTCTCAAATTTGCTTGCTGTGAGTCTGCACTGAATAATAGAAACTTCAGTCCTAAGAGAGGTTCGGCTATGCTTAAAAGCAGAGCCGAAGATCTGAAGACTAGCTACAAAGCAAGAGATCCAACCATTTCCTGCTTCCTAGCTAATCTAAATCTCCCGGCACAGCAGAATACAGATGATGGTCGGAAAAAGGAAAAATAGAAATTTAGCAGGCAAGTTTGCCGAGTAAAGAGTGAGTGGGTGGGGAGGGTTCCCGCGGGCCATGTGGGCTGCACAGCCTTGTGTTTCTGTGCAGCCTGGATTAATTGCTTTGAGGGGGGGGTGCTCTGGGGGTGAGATTTCTCTGCAGCCCACCAACATTTTCTCGAGGCCCACCGGTTGACGACTGCTGTCCTGGAAGACACGGAGCAGAGCAATCAGTCAGTCAGTGGGGAGCTATCTCTTACGTCAGCAAGCAAAGGTCAAGAGCAACACCCCTGAAGATGTGTTACTTTCTAACAGGACCCTGACTCTTTGGAGGAGCTGTCTATGATGCTCCACAACATATTGCCACTACTGAGTGTATCAAGGAAGCCCCTGATTATAAACACAATAAGCAGATTTCATAGAAATCTTTACAGGACTTCTCTTGTGTCCACCTACTGGTTAACTCCACCCTCAGGAAAATATTGAACAGAGCTATATAATTTGAGGCATAACCACTGCAAATATCTTTCTGGTTTATTTTTCATATAATTTGGCTTTGGTGATGAAAGGGAACATTTGCATTTTAAAGTTACATCATTTTTAGTAAGATTACAAAGTGAAATCTTGTATATTGAATATTCATGTTGTTATGCAAGATTGCTACAAGTACCCCTTGTACAAGCAGATTATGAATGATGGCAGAAAGGTATAATGAGTCTCTACAGCATTTTTCATTAAACACAAACCATGTGAGAACACAATGTGCTATCATAATCTAAAGTAATAAAATACAATTTTTTCCTGAATGTTCTAAAAGTATATTTTTTCTGTTATAATGCAGTCAGGTAGCTGCATTATGGTGCTCTCTAAATTCAGCATTTCTTTTTTAACAGTTTGCTTTAAATTTACAGTAACATAATTCTTTACAAGCTACATGAAGGCATATTATTTGCAAATTGCTTCCAGTGTGTACAATATGTTTTCCTTTTCATCAGTTTTTTTTCTTACAGGCTACATTTATAGCATTCATTTCCATTCTTCTGTATATTGTCATATATCATAGCATTCCCATACAAATCATTAACATGCCGCGTCTAGCATTTCCTTGTTTTAATGTCTTCCCAAATTATTTTGTCACTTCTAATTTTAATTCCATTCCCTGCTTGTTTCTCTTTGTTTAGCTTTCTTCACTCACTTCTAAAACAATTTTTAATGTCTTATCAAAATGTTCTGCCTCTTTTAATCTTAATCCTTCCTTGCTCTGTTCACATATATTCTTGACAATTATCTTTTCTTTCTGTACACATTGTAATATATTTCTCTCAATTTTTGCAGGAGTTGCCTATAGCCTATCATTCCACCAAACATCCATTTTCATACTTCATGCAATCCCATATATGTCTTGGCACTTTGCAATATAATTCTCATTGTGTTCCAATCAAATTCCAGTCTCTTTCCTTACTCCCACTTTCCACAGTGAAGGATCTTTGGTGCTCTCTGAGATCACTTATTTTCTTGCAGATGTTTTTCTAGCACTGATGATGTGTTACCTAGTTTGGATAATGAAACGTCTGCAAGAAAACAAGCCAACTCAGAGAGCACCAAGACCCCTCATTTCAACCCTGAGCTACAATTATTCTCCTTTTTTGGTACTTTCCACAGTGTTGGAAGAGTGTTGATTCCTGATGGCTCCCTAGACCAGGCCCTGCAATTTTCTTGGCAAAGTTTTTCAGAAGTGGATTGCCCTTGTCTGAGGTAGAGTAACAGGCCCAAGGTCACTCAGATGACTTAATGCCTAAAGTGGGATTAGAACTTTCAGCCTCCTGGTTTCTAGTCTGGTGCCTTAACACCAACAGAGCTCTCTGTAAATAGAATTAGGCTCAAACTACAGATTTCAAACAAATATACTTTTTTTCCTAAACGGATACTCATAAAACAGTCACTATTTTAATTTATTTCTGAGGTATAGAAATGTCATCCCTCTTTTCACACTCATCTGTTCATGCCAATATTTATTTCACCTGGTCTGCATTTATTTATAATATTGCACAATTTTTCTCAAATCTTATCTTTGGTTCTTCAATTATCATCATTTATTGGAGTGTTAGATGCACCTGTCACGAATGGATGCATTTCTACTTTTATATGCATCCACAATAGCCTAAACAATACACTGATTCACATGCTCTTACATATTTTAGCTGCTTCATTCATATTTAAACCTACAACTTCACTTTCCCCGCATGAATTCATCAATTGTACCCCATAAGATCAGATCACCTTAACTCAGATCTGTTAATTTCTTCACCTTTCTCTTAGTTTCATAGATACTAAGTGTATCATTTTTTTCTTTATGTTTAAATTTGTGCATTTATGCTTTTATGCTATTTCAATAATAACTTGTTTTACCATTTACTCTCCCACACACCCAAGAAGCAATTTTCTATAAGCCATGATCATTGTCAAATGGGGACATGGTCAGTCAAGGCTTTCACATAAGTTTTTTACATAATATTGAAAAATATAGTTTACATTAATTTCATTGATGCCTTGAATTGCTCCACTGGCAGCCAGTGTGACTTGCAAAGCAGTGATGTTATATAGACAAACCATTATTTGTTCCAAACTGCATGCAGTCCTACATTCTGGATTAATAGCAGTTTTTGAAAGTGATTCATGAGTATCCTAGTATGGAGAACAAATTACAATAGTCTGAGTGCTGCATAAGATATGAATAAAGCAGAACCTCCTGGATCAGGAATGGGTGCACAAAATGAATATGATGGCTTTTGATCATAGCTGCCATCTGTTCTTTGATTATCAGCCCAAAAAGATCTCCACCCCCAATTGTGTATCACCTGTGTCTAGGGGGGTGGGGAGTGCTATCAATCCAAGTCAAAAATAGAAAGTCTCACAACCCACAGTTACCTGATCTTGCTAGAATTGAGTCACGGCCTGTTTCTTTCTCATCCAAACCCTTACAACTTCCAAGCACTGGGAAAGAATCTGAACAGTATCATTTGGACACTCGGGGGCAAAGATTTACAGCTGAGTAACATCAACATATTGATGGTATTTAACCCTGTGTTGGTGAATGACCTCGCCAGATGTTAAATAGGAGTGGGGAAAAAGTCATGGTCTCAGAATGTAATAATTCAGGGCTGGATCTGCCCCCCTCCCTAACCCTGACTACAACCAGTGTCAAAGATGAAAGAGAACTACTGCAAAATCTTGCTCCACTCCACCACCACCCAAACTAGTCTAAAAGAATACTGTAATCTAGGTGAAATACAGTAGATAAAATATTAATGAGATTAATAGGAAGGATTAATGTGAAATTAAATACAACACAAAATCTTTTAATGAAGCAATATATATTTCTGAAGTAATTTCCAATAAAGAATAGTATGATGGGTATGCATATACATATTACCAAGGGAGGAAAAAGCCAGTCACATATAACATCTGTAGATCTGGGTGGAATGACTATATAACTTGCATTTCTTCTTCCTGGGGGCTTAGCTGATGCTTCAAATAATCTAAGTGACAATGATGGAAAGTCATCTAAGAAGCTTTCAGCAGAGCTAAAGACTTGCAAAACCAAGATGCTCTTGGACCATGAAGCAATTGTTACTTGCTGTTTCTCTTATTTAAAATGACATGTTGACATATAAAAGCTGACAGAAACCAGATGCCTCACATAACATCTCTCTGGCACTTTACCCTGTAACATTTTATCCAATAAAACTGCTAACCTTCTTCTGAAATAATACAGGGCTAATGGTAAAAGATATTCTGCTGGTTTTTTGTTGCATAAATTAGAGCCAGATAAGAAAACATAAGCTCATCAAAGTGCCTTTTCATATGCCCGGTCCACACTCAGTCTGTGGGTTGAGTAGCACTTCTATCCAGCTTTCCCCATATTCTAGAACAACAGTCCCTCCCCCCTAGTCTATTGGTGGGATTCAAATAATTTAACAACCAGTTCACCCAGGGTCAGGTTGGCTGTTGTGGGAGGCATGGCCTGTCCCTGGGCAAACCGGTTGTTAAATTATCCCCTCCTCCATCAAAGTGGATCCTGGGCACTGCACTACAATAGAGAAATGGGCAACGGAGTGGCCGGCATGAGAGAAAGTGGAGCAGGGAGAAGAAAGAGGAAAACCAGCCTTCTCCTTCCCTCGCGCCAGCAGCTCAGTTGGCTTTTTTCCCATTGCAGCGCAGCGCCCAGGATCCATTTTGATAGTGGGGATTGGTAATTTAACAACCAGTACGAACTGGCTGAATCCCACCACTGCCTCCATCACACACATACCTTATTCAGTAGTTTACAGTCAGAGTATAATTTGTGGGAAGCCAGAAGAGCACCACATTTGTATACATGGACAAGAAATCACTTTGGGCATGCAAAGAGTTTCAGTCTAGTAAAGACTTCTGTTCACATACACAACCAATATTGTCTGAAATAAAATAATAATAATTTCCTAAAACTTGAGAATATATGGTAGAGCTAGACAGTTATGTTCAGTAGTAATAAAGGAGAATGTTTGTAGCTCAGAGGTGAAATGAGGAGTCCCTGGTTTCACATGATGAAAACTCTTTAATTTCACAACATATGGACAGACTTAGCTATAGTTTCAGTTGGGAAAATGACCATCCTACACCAAGACCAAAATGCTGGGGAATTTCTACAGGCCTAGAACTTTGGTAAATTAGCCATCAATAGACACATAGACATAAACTGTGTATCTATGCTATGGAAAAGAAGCAATCAACAAGCCCAAACGTGAACAAAAAGACCAAAACACTTCCCCTCCAGCAATTAGCACCCAGATGACCATAGATTAACTCCAAGATTAACATCAGACCAACAATCAAGAAGTAAATAATACCCCATACCTCAATCAAGCACTAGTCAATAGTAAACAGCCCAACCAAATTGTCTCTAAGACCACCCTCACCAACACTGACTGGGCAAGCCACTAAAATACAAAATAAAATGTCTTCAAGAAAACAACCAAGCTCAGAGAGCATCAAGGACCCTTCAGTTATATTCAGTTTTCTGCTTTATCTCTTGACTTCTGAGTATTGCTATAACATTCTTCTGGCCTTGTTTAAGAAGCTCATGAATTCAGTCCCAGATGGAAAAGATGTGAAGAAGGTTTCTAAACAATGTTCTATTTTTGGGAAGACCTTTGTCTTCACTTTTTATTTGTTTCTCTGGCCAGTGCAGGGATTGGGAGAACAGGCTGTTTTATTGCTACCAGCATTTGTTGCAAACAGTGGAAAAATGAGGGCGCGGTTGACATACTCAGAACAACATGCCAGCTACGGTTAGACAGGTAAGATAATTTTTCTGCTAAAACCAAGTCTAAAGTAGCCTTCCCCTAAGTGCTGCTTCCCAAATGTCTTGGTCACCTGATTTATTATTTATTTATTTATTTATTTATTAACTTGATATGCCACCCATCTCACTATCAAGCAACTTTGGGTCATTTACAAACACATAAAAACAAAGGAACAAAACATTCAATATTAAAATTGGTCAGGAATAATGGGAATTATAATCCAGAGTATTTCGTAGGCATTGGATTGTGGAAGGTTACATTCTTAATCCAGCGCTCAATAACATTTATTACTTTATAATATGTAAACAGGTATTTGCTTCAGAATAAAACTGTGAATGTATAAACATGGGAAAAGTTAGTGATTTGACTACAGAATATTATCGATTCAAAAAAGAGTTTTAAGTTCTTGAGTTTTGATTTTTTTTCTGTCTAGCACTGATTTTATTCCACTTAATTTTTTTCCCTTTATTTCTGTTTTTATTGTCTAAGAACACAGTGGATGAAATGGGCTTTTAACTAATCTTTGAATGAATTGTTATGGTGTTTTTTTTCAGTTGTGAGTTCAATGAGATCAATATTATTTCCAAAACAATTATGTGTCAAATTAAAGTAATCTTCTGTTTAACTTAACTAAGTGGTATTTTCTGAAAAGTAAACCTGGCTTGTATTAGACAGGTAGAAACCCTGTATTTAAATATTTGTTCAGAAAAAGACTTAGCGGGAATATATTTCTCCTTAGTAGCTTAATTTAAGTATAGAATCCAAAAACAAAACTCCTTCCCTCCACATCTTTGCAGATTGAAATGATTATTTTACAATGGGCTTTTTCATGGTTATTAGAATAAAAGTCTAAATGATTTAAGAACTATAGTTCAGTTTTACTTGTGTCCATTCTTTTTTGCTGATAACTATTTTCAAATGTGGCACTAAACTTGCATTTTCCAAAGGGTTCCATAACTTAACAACCTATTTCTACTGTTAAAATTCATTAGCCATCTAGCTATACCAAACAAACTCACTGAAATCAGTATCTGTTGAGGTATTCCCTGTTAGGAGAATGAGTGCACTCAGGGAAACATAGTGAGAGTGGTGTTGAATAACACACAACCAGCATACAGATACACTGAATAGTAAAATGTAGGTTTTACTTCCTGTAAACGGGTAAACAAAGTCCAACAAACAGTCCAAATCATACACCGTTAAAGCAGTTAGTATCAGTCCAGGGATAATCCAAAAACAAAGTCCAGTACCATAAACAAAGTTCAGTAAATGGAGTTTGCTAACAGTTGCAAGACTCACAACAATCCAAGCAGAACGATGATCAGGCAAAAGGCAATAGGGAAATGCAAGAAGAGAGCAAACCAGGTTTCTGGCTTCATCTTATTGCCGTTGGAGGAACCTCAGCCAATCACAATTACAGCATTCTCTTAAAGATACAACAGTATTAAATGACTATCCTGGTTAAATGACTACCCAACTGTTAGGTGACTATCATTCCTAACATTCTCCCCTTTTGGTAGGACAATATATAAAACCTTACAATTTAAGTCCATATTCCTCACCGCAAGTCTTATGTTTTACAGTGCCTTGGGCTATCGTAAAATGAACTGCAATGTTATTCTCTGACATGCAATACTCCAGTGTAATCATTTTACTTTGAACACATTGTCTCACATTCAGATATCGTAGATTGGTGTGTTGTGATCTTGTCTTTACAGCGAGATTGGAAGCCATCTGAATTGCTGATTGGTTGTCTTCATATACAATAATAAGTTCCTTTACATTAATTCCATGTCTATCATTAGTTGTTTATAACATACTAAGTCCATACATAATAGAGACAAACATGAGAATTTAGCCTCCATTGTTGACAAGCTTAGATGTTTTTGTCGAATAGACCTCCATCCAATTAACACCTTTCCTAATAACACTTCAGTACCTGCCGTTGATTTATGTGTAGGTACATCTGTAGCGAAACTTGCATCGGCATATGCAGTTAAACTTAGTTCATCCTTAGGCTCCAAATATAATGCATAACGCATCGTTTGTTTAAGATATCTCAACACATGCTTAGTATCTTGCCAGTGCCTTTCAGTAGGCTGAGTATTCAGCCTGGCTAATTGGTTGACACTATATGCTATGTCTGGCCTAGATCAATTACTGAGATAGGATAAGCTACCAATCAATGATTGATAAATGACTTTATCAAAAATAGGACTTTGCACATCACTGTGGCTAAACTCCTGGCTCATTGGTGTTTTAGCCAGTTTACAAAGTTCCATTTTAAAGTTCTTCAGTAACTGGTTAATTTTATCTGCCTGTGAGATTTTGTAGCTTAGTTTTATCTATATTCAAACCAAGATACTGTTTAATCTCACCTAAATGTTTTATTTTAAATTTATTTTCTAACAGTGAAATAATCCCAGTAGCTTCTTGCTCAGTCTTGGTGATTAATGCTATGTCATCAGTGAACAATAGCAACAATGAAATTACACCATCACTTTCCTTTTTGAATAAACATGGATCAGCCATGCCAGCTACAAAACCTATCTTTGTTAATTCCTTCACTATGCACTGGTTCCATTCATAGCCTGATTGCTTCAAGCCATAAAGACTCTTTTTTAATTTCCAGCAATCAGTTTAGTTATCAGTTTTTATCCCCAAAGGCTTCTTTAAATATATAGTATGTTGCAACGGTGCATGAAGATATACCGTCTCCACATCTAAATGGTTTATTGTGTATTTATTCTTAGCTGCCCACACTAATGCTGCTCGTAACGTGGTAACTTTCAGACTAGGTGCAAACACCTCATCGTAATTGTTGGCTGACTGATCGAACCCTTATGCTACTAACCTGGCTTTATGGGTAACAGTCCCATCCACACCTGTCTTAATTTTATAAATTCACTTACACCCTATGGCATGCTCACCTGGTGGTAACCTGACATTTTCATATACCTCCAAATTTTGTAAGGATTTCAGTTCCTTATCCATTGCTTCCTGCCAAGCAGCCTGATCCTCAGCAGGATACAGTTTCAGTTCATTATAGTTAGTAGGAACTATATTTACTTGGCATACTATACTAGCCTGATATCTATCTGGTGGTCGTGTTACACGGGTTGAACGTCTAAGCAACTCAGGGCTTACTGGTGGACTCTTCCTGTTCCACCTGCTCCTGTTCTTCTACCTCCTCCTGTGTCTGTTCTTTCTCTTTAATGGCTATTGATGGTTTAACTATCTCATCATTAGGGACTACTTGGGTGTCGATAACAACATCATTGTTGGATTCCTGTTGTAGTTTATTCCACCCAATGTGCTCAAGAAATTTAGCACTAGCGCTATAGTAAATATTAGCTGTGCCTGGAGCGCAGAATCTAAACGATCTATGGTTGGCCTCGTAATCTACGAAAACTAATTTCCCAGCTCTATGTTGCCCTTTCAGTCTTACTTGTGAGGGAATATGCACCCATGCTGGAGTTCCAAATGTGTGTAGATAACTTAAATTTGGTTTTCTGCCATGCCAACGGGTGAATGGCAATTCACCAGTTGTTGTGTTCACCACATTGTTTAACACATGGTTGCTACACATTATGGCTTCACCCCACAGTGTTTCAGGCAAATCTGAATCAGATAACATAGTGCGAGCCATGGCTTGTAACATTTGCCTTCTTCATTCTATAAACGAATTATGTTGTGGCCTGTATGATGCAGAACGCTTATGCTCGATACCAGCCAATTTCAACATCGTTTGGAATCTATTATTAATAAACTTAGTCCCGTTATCTGTAACTAAAGTAATTACTCTATGTCTCATTTTCCTTTCTGCAAATCTTAGCCAATTAAAGAAATGTTGGAATGTTTCTGTGTTGTTTTTCGTTAGATAGCAGAAACCGTACCGTGAGTAATGATCCATTATACTCAAAACATAGCAGGCACTTCCCAAACTGGGTTTTTTAGGACCAATTATGTCAGCAAAAATAACCTCTAAAGGTTCTTTGGGTCTTCAATCTGTTTGCTGGAGTAATCTTGCTTTTCTCCTGATTACAGGCATTACAGTTTAAGTACTTGCTACAGGGTTTTAATTTTACTCCCTCTGACAATTTAACAGTTTGTTTCAGCATCTTGAAACTAATGTGCCCCAGACGTCTATGCAGTAAATGTATACATTCGTCATGTGGTTTAACATTGTTATAAACCGAGTTAGCCATCTGCAACTGGTCATCGTGTATAACATATAAATCATTCTGTAAAGTAGCAGTAGCACTTTTACCCTCTTTCTCTATTATACAGTTATCTCTCCCCTAAAGGTTACTTCATAACCAATATTAACTAAAACCCTTACTGATAACAAATTTCAGTTTAGGTACATATAACATAGATAAATGCTCATTTATATGTGAAAAATATGCAGTAGCTTCACCAGATGCTTTCATTTTCCATCCATTTGCCAATGATACATGTTGCTTACTCGTAGACATCTTTACAAATCTCTGTCTATTTCTAGTAATGCACTGCGATGCTCCACTATCCACTACCCACAAATCATGGTTTACAGTTGAACTTTTTTGAATACCTTTTTATGAAAAACCATTAGAACTAGCAATAAGATTGCCTGCTCCCTAAGTCAGTCCTAAATATGACCTTTTATATTTGGTCTTATTTCCATTGGGTTTCTACAGGTGGTCCTTAAACTTGTAACAGTTTGTTTAGTGATTGTTCAAAGTTACAACAGTACTGAAAAAAGTGACTTATGACTTTTTCACACTTATGATCATGGCAGCAGATGTTCATGTGATCAAAATTCAGACACTTGGCAACTGACTCATATTTATGATGGTTGCAGTGTCTTGGAGTCATGTGATCCCCTTTTGCGACCTTCTGACTAGCAAAGTCAATTGTTCTGACCCAAACCTTGTTCCAAGAAAACAAACACCAACCAGAGATAAAAGCAAAACCTTTTAATGCTTCTCTAGGAATTTCGTTAATTCACAGTTAAAAGGCTATTAAAACTAATTGTCTCTGAAAAGAAGGAGCCTTGCCAAGGTTGTGCAAGGCTGCCAAAAGCACTAGATTAAGTTGCCAAGAAATATTCCAAACAAAAAGTCTTCAAACACAAACCAAAATAGTCCGAACTTCCATAAGGCTTGAAGTGCAAGAACTTATTTGCTTCCTGCAAAGAATTCTGGCCTCTCAGGCTGGCTTTTATCTCTTAAGGGAGGGGCCATTACCTTGCAGCCTTACTCCCAAGCCGCCCATGCTGCTGCAGCTGCTCTTTCCTATGAGCAGCCCTGCGTGCATGCACACTGGGCACAGGCTCCTTGGGGACCTCTTCATCACTGCTGCCAGCCTCCACAATCTCCAAAGGCAGCATTCCACTCCCTGATGGTCCTGGCCCCATCCCTACATCACACGCAGGCCCCTCACCTGAGTCCTCGCTCTCTGACACCTCAGCCGTCCATACCTGCTGCCCGCAAACCACAACATCAATGGGGTAGCCAGTTTCACTGAACACCTGTGTTACTAACTTAACAACCACAGTGTTTCACTTAATAACTGCAGCAAGAAAAGTCGTAAAATGGGACAAAACTCACTTAGCAAATGTCTCACTTAGCAACGTGCATTTTGGGCTCCCTTGTGGTCGTAAGTGGAGGAATGTATTGTAGTATATATCTTTTCTGGAAGTTTCCAGAAAGTTTCCACATCTTTTTAAAATTCTTCCTTGCTTCTCTTTCCAGGGGAGGAATGATCCAGACTTCTGAACAATATCAGTTTGTCCATCATGTCATGAGCTTGTATGAAAAGCAATTCATTAGAGCATCAGCAGAAGAATGAAGATTCCGAATCATTTATTATGATAAAGATCACGGGAACTCTGATCGGAACCACATGTATGATAGAGCTGAGAAGATTTCAGAATTTCAGAGCAGAAGATATTTATTTATACATATAAATATATATATATATAGTTTTACTTTCATATTGCTTTATTTTGCATTCAAGAATTAAGATACTGCTTTTCTTCAACATGTGACAGGGTGTTATCTTCACTTTAAAAATAAAAAGGCCTGTTTATACTGTAAATAAAATTGATAGCTTCATTTGTTCCAAAAATTTAAAACATCACTTTTGCTATGTAAAAAGACAAAAAAAAAAAAACACCAACAACCCTTGCTACTAGATCCAAATACAATGTGAATCTCTTTGATAGATGTCTTGCTGAAGTCTGTAATGTATGTTTACTAAGCTTGAAAACTAACTTTTCTGCCTTTTTTCTGAATGATTGTTTTTACATTTTAAACTACCGGATACTGTGTATATCATAAAATCTTCTGGGCCTCTGCATTAAAATATTCAAGTGAATTCATACCGGAAAAAAACCATGTTTTGTGCCTTGTGTATTTACTTGTTGAAAACACTCAGTCCTACAAAGTATCGTGACTGTAGTGTCATCGTAAAACAAAAACACAAAGTGAAGATACCCATCTTGGCTACAAACAAAAAAATCCATGGCCAGTTTTTTCTTAGGTTAACTGAAAAGCAGAAAATAAAGTGCAAGTATTTGAAAAGCAAGTAAAAACTCACGTACTAAAACTTTAAAATGACATAGAGTATCGATTAGGTGCTATGATGGTTGCTGTTGGAATAAAGAAATGAGCAAACAGTTACTGGAAAATATAGAATCTATTTGTAATTTTTTCTTTTGTTATAACTTCCTTTTGGTGTTTTAAAAGGGGAAATTCTTTGGACTTTTCTATTGTGGAGACTTAATGGATAAAATTAATGGTCCCTGGATCAGTTCCAAGAATAAAGTTACGATTATAGTTGTAGTACAGTCTGGAGGAGTTTTTTTTATGTAGTCGCTGTATATATTATAATGCTTCTTCACATTCCTAACTCAACAGTTTAAGTCCTACTTTATCAGATCATGGTTCAATTGGAAGCAAGGAATTAGAGTTCCTCTTTGAGGTAGTACAAAAGTAGAATATAGTAACTGAAAAAGTGCTAGCAAGTAAATAAATAAAATTGTGTAAGGGAGTATCAAGCTCTCAGATGTAGTATTTCGAGTTGAATCCATAAATTAAATATTCCTGAAGTTAGCTGGGCCTTTAGTTTGTTCTGCATCAACAAAATCCCTTCATGAAAGGCTCTTGAGTAAATTTGGAAGTCATAGGAGAAGAGAATGTGTTTGTGCATGTCTGAATGCAGTTTCCATCTATGAACTGGAAGGAGAAGCAATTCCACTCACAACAGATTTAAAGGTTTCCCTCATCCAGTCATGACCGACTCAAGGGGGCAGTGCTTGTATCTGATTCTCAACTGAGGGAGCCTGAGTTGTCTGAGAGGTGCTTACATCATGTGACCAGTATGAAAGTACAGAACGCAGTAACCTTTCCCCCAAAGTACCTATTCACATTTGCATGCTTTCAAACTGCAACATTTGAGCTTGGGCAAGTAATGAGAGCTAACCCTGTTGTATGGCACTATAGCAGTAAAAACTCAAAAATGGAAGAAAAGACCATAAACACACACAAAAAAAGAACAAATTGTTAAATCCTGAAAAAGGCGGAAAAGTAAAAAATAAAAAACTAAAGAAAAATTCTTCAGGTTCTTCAACACCTTAATCCAATTAAAAGGTCTCGGGTATAAAAGGATGCATAAGAAGAAGAAAAAGCCACAAAGATTAAAAAAAACCAATATGGAAGGTAAATAGAAATAAAAAATACAAGGGAGGGAGAGAGAGAAAGAAATACAAGGGAGGGAGAGAGAGAGAGAAAAGAAAAGAGACTACTCCCTTAAAAAGAAAAAAAAGGAAGGAAATCATTAATACTAAAGCTTTTCCTTTAAAATAAAATGCAAACGTAAAAATTAGACTTCAAAAGACAAAAAGAAAGAGAAAAACAAGTTCCAAAAGGCCAAAAATCCAAAGAGCTATTACAAAAAGTAAGCTAGTAAGGAGGGGGTTTGTTAAAGTAATAGCCCAGCTTAAAAAAAAATAAAAAGAGCACACTGCACCTTGTTTGGTTATCCAAGGCTTTTGTTAAAATTTATAATTCTCTTCTCCAGAGTCTTATCACTTTTTTTTTCTATAAACTTCAACACCAGACTTCAGCTGTTGATAGAAACCCAGAAGAGCACCTGCAATAATACTCTCCCATGCTCTTCCCTCTATCTTATCAAATAGCAATGTCCTTGAAAAGAAGTCTCAGTTCTTTCTCAGCTTTGTCTGGTCAAGAAAAAAGAGATAGAATATTTCCAAGCCTCTAGTTGGCAGTGTTACAAAGTTTCTTCTGCTTTCACTTTCCCCCTCCTTTTCTAAATAAGACATAATAAAAATTAATTAAAAAGGGAAAAAGATATTTTAAAAGATGACTAAAAGGGAGTCTCTAGCCTAGAATATTATAAAGTCAAAAAGGAGAGAAAGAATAAGTGGAAGGAGAAGGAAAACCAGTCCAGATTCAAAATATAAAATCGTGTAGAAAATCCAGCAATGAGAAAAATAAAAATATTACTTTGACTTCCTGTTTAAAATCGCCGCTTAATCACTTCTGTCAAAACTTTTACAGATCCTTTCTTTTCCTTAGGGTGTCCTTTCAAATCTTAAAGTAAAGAAAAAGTTCTCACCAAACCGGCACACTTTCTTTTTCCATTCTCTTTCGTTTCGGAGCTGTCCCAACTTCAGCAGCTTTAATGGCTGCCTCTTTGCCGCTGGCAAAAAGAGCTTCTCCTGGATCTACCAGGGACTTTGCGGTATCCCTGGGATCGACAGGATGCACTCTTTACATTCACTGTCTCTTCGGGATGGTTTAGATCCGATTGGACCGTCCAGGAGCAAAGATATCGGCAGCAATCTCAGACCTCTAAGATTGCATGCCGTATCATCGCGATACCAGCTCCGCCCGCACCGATAAAACAGAATTATTTTGAACACACGAATAAGCCAGGAAGGTGGCTAGCCTATAGACTTAAGAAAGAAAAAGAAAAAAGAGCAATCCAACAATTGAAGGATGCTGATGGTACGCTACAACATCAAACTGAAAAGAAAAAACATATTGTTAAAGTTTTTTTGAGGAATTATATAGTAGGAAACACGTACTAGAGGGAAAAATTCAACATTACTTAGAAGGAAAAGGGCTACCTGTGATTCCGGAAGAGGATAAAGAAGAGATAAACAGGGAAATAACATTAAGAGAACTGCAAGAGGCAATCCTGAAACAGAAAAACAATAAGACACCGGGACCGGATGGTCTCCCAGGGGAACTGTATAAAACGCTCCAAGAAAAATTAGAAATGCAATTATTAGAACTCTATAATGAGTACTGACGACAGCAAAATTACCTAAGTCATGGGGGGAGACATACATAACATTGATCCCAAAAGAAGATTCGGACCATCAATTAATTCAAAATTATAGGCCCATATCCCTTTTAAATGTTGATTATAAAATATTTATGTTCATAATGACAGAAAGATTGAAAAAAACCCTTAATCAGATCATTCATAGCGACCAAAAGGGATTCTTACCGAATAGACAAATTAAAAATAATACCAGAATGGTATTGAATATAATAGAATATTATGAAGCAAACCCAGGAAAACAATTGGCAATGGTCTTCCTAGATGCGCAAAAGGCATTTGACAATGTTAAATGGGCAGTTCATAATACAATGATTCAAAAGCATGCAATTTGGCAATAAATTGATTAAATTGATTTCGACAATTTATACGACACAGACGGCCAGTGTAATAATGAACGGTGACAGAACGGAAACATTTAAGATCAACAAGGGAATAAGGCAGGGATGCCCACTGTCACCCCTTTTCTTTATTCTTACCTTCGAAAACTTATTGGAAAAGGTTAGGAAAAATGTAGAAATCAAAGGGGCTTTAATTAAAAAGGAGGATTATAAGGTACAGGCATTTGCCGATGATATAGTATTTTTTCTGAAAGATCCAGAGGATACGGGAGTAAAATTAATAAAGGAAATAGAGGAATTTGGCAAGGTCGCAGGCCTTAAGATTAATAAAAACAAAACAAAATTATTGACTAAAAACTTAAAAGATAAGCAAAAAAAGAATTAGATGGAAAATTGGAAATGCAAAGTGTGAAAAAGGTAAAATATTTAGGCATTTGGTTAACAGCAAGATGCTCTTCAATCAAAAAAGATAATTATGACAAATTAATAATACAAATCAAAAAAGAATTGGAAATGTGGAGGAAATTACAGCTATCACTACTGGGGAAAATTGCGGCAATTAAAATGTCTACCCTACCAAAAATACTATATCTTTTTCAAACTGTACCAATAAGATTGGATAAAACCTTTTTTAGAGAATTAGATTGAATAATAAGTAAATTTGTTTGGGATGGGAAAAAAGCCAGGATAAAAATGAAATTGTTACAGGACAAAAGAGAAAGGGGTGGCTTTGGACTCTCTGACTGGGAAATGTATTATCAGGCTGCGGCTATGGTATGGATTAAAGATTGGATCAACCTGAAAAATAGAAGAGTATTGTCGATAGAGGGTCATGACTTGCAGAGAGGGTGGCATAGTTTCCTATGGGATGGGAAATGTAAACAGCATGCATATTTTCAGAGACACATGTAGAGATTCATTTATTCGGACATGAAACAAGATTAAAAAGAATCATTATACTAAAATACCAAACTGGTTGTCAACTATGGAAGCACAAATCTACTCAAATGCAATGGATCTGGGAAAAAAGAGGAATCACAAAGACCTATTAGACACACAAGGAAGATTAAAAACGAGACAAGAATTACAGCAACAAAATATAAAGATAGATTAGTGGCCATACATGCAAATTCAGGCGAGATATCAGAAGGACAAAGAACAATTTGGTTTCTGCATGGAAAAGCATCAATTAGATAAAATTCTACAAGAAATGGAAAAGAAAATGATTTCAAGAACATATAACTTTCTACTAGATTTTAAAATGGAAGAGGAGGTGGTCAAAGAGACGATGGTGGTATGGGCGAAAAATGTTGGCCACAATATAGACCTGGAAAATTGGAAGAGAATGTGGGGATCAAATTACAAACTAATTACATCCACAGCATACAAGGAAAATCAATACAAAATGTTCTACAGATGGCACCTTCCCCCCGCTAGACTGGCAAAATTGTTTAACTCAGACCCAAATTGTTGGAAATGTGGAAAAGAAAAAGGCACTTATTTTCATACCTGGTGGACATGCCAGGAAGTGAAATAATATTGGAATACAATTAGACAATGGATAGAAGAAATCACAAATCAGAAAATTGAATTTAATCTGGAAACTTTTTTATTAGCTATAATAACACAAAAATGCAATAAAACAGATAGATATTTTATGTTACATATATTAACAGCTGCAAGGATTTCATACGCACAACTCTGGAAGGAAAAAAGGGTTCCACCAGAAAGCATGGTTATAAAAAAAATAATAGATTATATAGAGATGGACAGGCTAATGATGAAAATAAAAGACAGAAAAGATTCAATTTATTACAGGGCTTGGTATGCCTGGTATGAGTGGTTTAGAAATAAAAATAAAATAAAATGGCAATTAGGAAAAGAATGAAGGAATATGTAAATACGTAAATATACCATGGAGAAGATTGAGATGTAAGGATAAAAGATATTGATTTATAGTAAGAGTAAGATGTAATGGTAAAGGAATAAGTAAATACATATACCGAAAAATGTGAGGAGATGCAAAAGATGTCTTGATGTTGATAACAATGTGTTGTGACTCGGAGGTTTGAGCCTGCTCTGTCAGAAGACACAGGCTCGAGTGATGAGGAAGATTTGGCATTGAGGTTTGAGCCTGCTTTATTGGGAGACACAGACGTGAGCCAGGAGGAAGAGGAGGATTTGGCTCTGAGGTTTGAGCCTGCTTTGCTGGAAGTTTCGGAATCATCTTCCTCCCCAGAATCTCCCTCCCTGGTTGTGCCTCAGGTGTCGGCAGATAATCAGGAGAGCGTGCCGGAGTCCTTGGCTGAGGATCAAGCCGAGAAATGCTGGTCTGATGCAAGGCAAAGACGCAGGCAGAAACGTGAAATACAACGTAAAAGGAAATGTCAAATCAGGGACTGAGAAAAGAGACTGACACGCCCCTCAGGGAATATAAGGGGGCATGTTAGCTCTGAATCCCCATTCGGGTCAACTTGTTTATTTGAGTTAGCAGTTTGGACAAATTATCTGTGTGGCGTTTGCCTCTGATTTATGGTTCTGCTCGTTATCGGACTTGGCAGGCAGCTCCTGGAAGACTGCCAAGGACTGCTTCAGCCAAAGGAAGTTAACTCTGTCGTTCCTGGTCCTGTCTGTTTGTGTATTTTCCTTTGGAAATTTGGACTCTCACCTCGTGGCCACAGGTGAGACAGAACAACAATGTATAAAGTTTTATTTTATGTTTTTAAAATTTGGAAACTTAATAAAATTTATTTTTTAAAAAAGATCTCCTTTGCTCATCAGAGTTTGCTGGTCAGAAGGTTGCGAAAGGAACTGTCATAGTAAATATGAGTTAGTTGCCAAGTGTGTGGATTTTGATCATGTGACCATGGGGATACTACAATGGTCATAAATGTGAAAAACAGTCATAAGTCACTTTTTTCAGTGCTGTTGTAATTTCGACTGGTCACTGAACAAATGGTTGTAAATCGAGGACTATGTGTATATTAGCATAGAATAGTATAGCATAGAACAGGGGTGGGCAAACTACGGCCCGCGGGCCACATCCGGCCCATTGGTCTGTCTAATCCGGCCCGCCCCTGAAAAAAAATCGCTGGGTGTGGCATATTGCCCTGCGCCGCGTGGCCCCCAAAGTTGCAAAACAGTGCGGAGCGCTCTCGGGGTAGGAAAGAAAAGAAGAACTTTGCAAAGGCCTCGGCTAGGAGTTCGAAATCACCTTCGAGTGCGACTTCTCCGAAGGTGAGTCCCCGCCGATCCCCCTTTTTTTTCCGGGGCTTCCAGGCTTAAACTTTGCAAAGGCAAAGTTTGCAGGCGGGAGCGTCTTCCGGCCAAGGAGCGGGAAGGGTTCCGCCCGGCGGGCGGGCGGGCTGCTTGGAGCGGGCTGCTTGGAGCCACCTAAAGCTAGGCCGCTGCTGGTGGAGCCTTGCCCTGCCTTGGTGCCCCGTTTCCCGGCTCGGCGATCCTGCTCAGGTGGCACTTTAAAAGCCTGCTCCCAGCACCCGAGCAACTTCCCAGCAACTTGCGGCTTCCTTTTTCCTCGCGGGCGCTCTTCAATTTCCTTCTTCTTTCATCTCTTTCCTTATTTTTCTTTCCTTTCTCTTTTCCCATCTTTCCTTCTTCTTTGTCTTTTCTCTTTCCTTTTCCCCTTTCCCGTCCCTTCTTGCCTTGAGTTTGACATCCCTGTTCTAATCCAACCTTCTGCTCAGACAGGAGATCCTATACCATTGTGGACAAATGGCTGTCCAATCTCCTCTTAAAAACCTCCAGTAATGGAGCATCCACAACTTCTGAAGGCAAGACATTCCTCTGATTGACTGTTCTCACATGCCATTTTCCTGTTCTTGGCACAAAATCTTCCTAGACCGGGGGTCGGCAACACGCGGCTCCAGAGCTGCATGAGGCTCTTTGGGTCCTCTCCTGTGGTTCCCTGTCAGATGATCTCACCATTGGCTGGTTCCTCCCCTCAGCCTCTCGTCCCACTCACTCCTCGCCTGCTGTCAGAGGAGAAGGGCGATGGCAGTGGATGGAGACTCACTCTGTATTCCAGAGTGGGAGCGAAGTGCTCCTCTACTTGCCTCTTCTTCCGGCCCTCCTTGGTGCTGCGTGCACCAGGGAGATGCATGACTTTCTCTCTGCCACTAGACACTGGTCAGGCCACTGCAGCCAATGCTCCACATCATAATGGGCTCCAGGAGGAGGAGGGGGGATGCTGTCTCCATTGTGAAGCGTGCTAAGTTTAAATGTGGTGCGTGAGGCGCTGCAAGCAAGCCATGGAGGCAGCGAGAGCAGCGGCGTCAACTGCAGCCAGCCCAGCTGGTGTCTTGGGGCGGAGAGAAAGTTGCGCATCTCCCCATATTCCTCTCGCTGCCTCCATGGCCTGCTCGCTGCTCTTGCAGTGCCTTGCCTAGAACACTTAAACTTGGCCCGCCCACCCAGGTTTTGTGGCTTCTGGTGTTTTCTTTTCTGTGGGAAATGGGTCCAAATGGCTCTTTGAGTGTTTAAGGTTGCAGACCTCTGTCCTAGACCGTAGTTCTAATTTAAGAACAATGAGAAAAGAGGAAAAGGAACATTGCTTTTTTCATGCATGAATAGTGTGCATGCATGAGGGAAGGAGAGTGTGGCCTGATTCTACCTTTAACATGGCAGAATTTGAGGGAGAGGCAATTCCTGTTACATCATATGCCTTATATAAAAGATTTCTCCTCTGGGAAGTTGTAATAGTTGTCTGCGTCAATGTTTTATTATTAAGTTTGAATTAAGCTCAAGTCCCAGTGGCAACTTCAAGACTTCTCCATTACTCTTATAAGGTAACGTCTTTTGATGGTAAGCCATCCCCAGGGATCTGACAGAGAGAAGGCATGAGGAGTTCATCCTGCTTTGCATAGTGATCGAGGCTTCCTGCTAAAATCAGCACGAGGAAAATATGCTCTGGGAGCTAAAAACATCCAGAAGCATAAAGGATGTGCAATAAATATCCACTGAGCAAAGTCAGAAGTAAACATTTGATTTCTTCATGCTAGAGAAGGTAGAGATCATTTAAGGCTTCAACTTTAAAAACAAGGTACTTGACAATAATAATAATTAAACCATGAGAGTTTTAAGTGCTATCAACCAGTCCTTGAGCTGGCAGAAAATGTTACTACAATAGAATTCATTTGCACATTTGTTTTTTATGAACTTTGGAAGCTGCCCAGAGTCACTTGAGTGGCATGTAAATTTAATAAATAAATAAACACACACACACACACACCAAACTTAAACATTAAGACTGCTGTCTAAGAACATGCTGAATGTAATTTTTAATTACTGTCGTGTCCTTGATTTGTGCCTCTGTAATACTGTCTCTAAATAAGTGAAATTGTTGAAGCTGCAAAATGCATGTAACCACATCGCCCACAAGGGGCCAGTGTCTATTTAAAGTTTCAGCTATGCAGAGCCATATTTGAGATATGCTGAAGGATCCAGCTCAGGCTGTGTAAAGGCACTTTAGCCAGAAGAGCTCACGGATGCTTCACAAAGATCTGTTTCACAACAACGTCTGTCAGTGGTCTTTTCAGCCAGAAAAAGGAAAGGTATTATATGCGTATCATTTTATTTGCCTGTTGTATTTGCGATATAATACAGATGTTTCTTCTCTAATTGCTTTCAGGTGTGTTTTTCTTTCTTTCTTTCTTTCTTTCTTTTGAATATGTAACCTAATCTGATGTAATCTTGGAAATGTCACATTGTCTTAAAGTAAATGGATAGAGACTAAGAATAAATAAGTCACTTACAGCATCTAAACAACAGGTTGCAAAATGTAATTGTTATTGTCAGTTCCAAACAAGACTTAAATATATCCTTGATAGCATCCAGGATCCTGAACTGTCCAGACTGACTTTTATCACAATAAGAGAGGTATTTGTTGAGTTGGATAAGACAGCGCAAGCCATTAGATTCAATCACCTGCACCATCCAAATCCCATATAGATGGCTATCTATTCTCCACTTGAACTAGGGTCACTTCTCAGGGTCATTGGTCCCACTGTTGAACTGCTCTTACTGTAGGAAAATTTTCCTTATCTTCATCCAAAATCTGCCTTCCTGTAGCTGGAATCTATGATTCCACATCCGAAACTCTGAAAATATAGAATACTTTTTTCCTGGGTTTCTTTCAGGTATTTTGAGAATCCATTGTATTTGTCCATGTTCTTCTTAAGGCTAAATATTCCCAATTCCTTCCATCGCTTTACATAGCATTTAATTTCTAGTCTCATAATAATCCTTATCATTACCGAATCTATTTCAGTCTGGCTGAGCCTTTTGTGGGTTGTATAGTAATTAATACAATATTAGATGTGGGATTTGACGAGGGCAGAGAATAAGGGAACTACTACATTTTGTGATTATGAAATTATATTTATTTTTCTGCAATTAAAATAGCTTTTTAACCTTTTTTTGCAGACATGTGGCATTATTGATTTATTTTACTTGTAATCAAATACCACTACATCATGTTTTTCATTATTATCAAGCCAAGTATTCCTCAGGCTATATTTGAGCATTTAATTTCTGTTTTCTAATGAAGAGCTTTCCTCTGATTGATTTTATACCATTATGTTTGGCTTATTACTCTAATTTATCAAAGTCTGACAGAATTATGTTAAATCCACTGAATGTTATGTCATCTTGAAAATTTTGAGAAACATTTCCTCTACTTCTTCATTCAGGATATAAATTGATACATTGAATAGAATTTTCCAGAATTGAATTTTCTGACATCCTTTCTTCCCGCTTGATAACCCTCAGTATGATTTTCATACCAGTTATGTATCCATGTCACTGTAGTATTACCCAGTCTATAATGAACTTCATACCAGAATGGTATGAATACTTTGCCAAATGATTTTTTTTTTTAGGTGGGGGGGGAGACAATCTATTTTAATGGAATATGCACCATTCCATTAATCTACTAAGGCAGTACAAGAAAACTGTCTTTGTTTCATATCCTGGGGCTAGGGGGAAGATGCCAGTTATGCTACCTGAAAGTTTAACACCAGGACCTCCATGTTGGCATCACAAAGTGGGAGGTGGGGAACTGATGGAAAGTCCTGGGAGCAGAGATTTGAGATCCGTGGCCTATGATACTATGAGCGTTAGCCATTTCTCCACACTGCTTCTTTTATGAATTGCTCTAGAATCTTTATAGATATTAATGCCCTGCATATTGGACTGCATTTCCTTGGATCATCTTTTTCTAAAGACAAAGACCACATTTGCCCATTTGCAGATTTTTGATATTTCACAAGCTCATCAAGATTTCTTAAAATTACACATCCATATTAAGCCAAACTTTTTTTTCTTTTCCCCTGTGTTCTGGGCAGTCCAATCTTTTTCAGATATGTGTCCCTTCCTTACATGTAGTAATCTGAATTATGATTTTTTTTGGGGGGGGGACTTTGCCTATGTTATTCTGTTAACTGACTAGTATTGTTTTTATTCCTTTGTTATCCATCCCAGGAACATTCAGGCTGAAGGTATGGGATACACTTCCCAATGTCAGTGCCCTCCAGATGCTAGGGTTTCAACTCCCTGAACTTCCTTTCTCAAACTCAATTGCTTGAAGATATATGGACATGAGGGCTGGCTGGGTAATTCTGGGAGTTGAAGTTCACACATTTTCAGGTTGCTGAGGCTGCGAAATATAGGCTTAGGTCAGTGGTTCTCAACCTTTTCTTTACCACTGCCCCCCTTTTTTTTGTGGCCAAGGACCATGGCCATGGACCCCCAAGACTTCACTCAAAATTTACATCATAACATTTCTTCAAGCCTTCACAGATACCCTGTGATGACATTGTGGGCCCCCCCCAGGGGTCCACGGACCACAGGTTGAGAACCACTGGTTTGGATCAAGACCAAGTGAAACAGAAAAGGTGCTTACTCATTAAATGAGTAAAATGACTTTTTTTTTCCCCTTCCACAGCGATTATAAATTCTGTAACCTGTAAAAAATATCAAAGTAATTATGGAAACCTCAACCATGCAGATGAAAACTCAAGTCCAGCAACATTACTCTTCTGAGGTTTCTACCTCCAGCTCAGTGGAGCATATGACTCAGGCAACCAAAATCACAGAAGGCAAGTAGTTGGATAATTATTTCCAGGAAGTCAGAATATTAAAAAAAATGCTATAGCTGTTTTTAAAGAAGGAACTAAATACAGTTATATTAATTAATTCTGAGTTAGCTAATGTCGACAAGTTGGTGATATCAACTTGGAGAATGGGGGTGGAACCTCTTTTTCACAACCACCCATCAATATCACTATAATCAGTACTTTTGCTTGCTTCAGGCTTAGCGCATGGGAACTGTTCAATCATAATTCACAATTATGTTTAACTTGGCCTTCCCTAATCTAATGTTTTCCAAATGCGATGGTCTGTTATTCACAGTGCGGTCCTAACAAACTGGCATTGCAGATTGCTAATTGCAAAAGCCAATTGCCTTTCTTATTTTGCCATCCAAAGCCAAAGGAAAGTCTCTTGGTGTCTTTATCCCTAGATGATACCAATGATATGGATATTTCTTGATTAAAACTTAAAACCCGATTAAAGGTTAAAGAGATACCTAAAATAAAACCTGGAAATGTCTGTCTCCACATTCATCACATGACTGATGTAAAGTTGCTATTGAGTTCATTTGTTTTATGAAAGTTCACTTGAAATGGAAAAAGCTGATTCTTACCCAATTCTTACCTAAGAACTAAACATTCTTCATCTCAATCCATTATTTGCCATGGTGGCAGAGTGGTTAGAATGTAGCATTGTAGGCTAACACTGCCCACTGCTTGGAGTTCGATCCTGACTGGCTCAAGATTGACTCAGCCTTCCATCCTTCCGAGGTCAGTAAAATGAGGACTGAGATTGTTGAGGTGGGGGAGTCAATATGCTGACTCTGTAAACCGCTTACAGAGGACTGTAAAGCACCATGAAGCAGTATATAAGTGCTATTGCAAAGCACGCGCGCTCACTGAACCAGTTGTTAAACCAGTAGAATCCCACCACTGGATGAAGGTTATGGGAAGGTTATGACATAATAATAACTTCAAAGGAAAGGAGGCTGGGGAAGCTGGGATCCTTTTTCACTATTAAACAGAATTTGTGGTGAATATTGAACTGTGAGATCTGTTCTAAAGTTTATTGGAATCATGATACACATATTTCTTTTAGTACTTTGGTATTTAGTCATCCATTGCTGGAAAAAACACAAGCCATTTTTCTTCTAATTATTGCTTTCTAGAGATATTTGTGGACCTAATTCTCAAACAGATTAATGAAAAAATATTATTTTGTATGACACATGCCTGCTTTTACCTGCAGAGAAATCCTCTTCTTCTGTAGAGTCCTTCAGCATGGTTTCTCATTCTGTGGAAATCCCTGCTGGAGAGAGCATTCCTGAATTTATGGTGAAGCCTCAGCCACTGACAACTTCCGAAGGTAACCTCTTATTCACCCTCCATATTAGCCTTCTCCAATATAATATTTTCAGATGTATTACACCATAATTGCCCAGTTCTCTGCCCTGTTTATGTTCAAGAGGAAAGAATAAGTAGTCTTATTTTTAAGTAGAATACCGCCCACATGGCCCGTGGGAGCCCTCCCTGCTCACTCCTTTCCTGGCAACTTGCCTGCTAAGCTGCTATTTTTCCTTTATTTTTCTCAACCATCAGCTGTTCTGTTGTGCTGGGAGATTTAGATTAGCTAGAAAGCAGGAAATTGTTGGATTTCTTGCTTTCTAGCTAATCTAAAAACAGAGCTGAACCTTCCTTAGGACTGAAGCTTATTATTCAGTGCAGACTCAGGTAGCTGATGGCGGATAGATAGATAGTGTATCTGTGATTCTGTAAACAACTCAATCTGCCTGCCTGCTTTGCCTGATTTTGGGTAAAAGTTGCTCTTTTTTAATAAAAAAATTCAATATTTACATAAATATTGATAATATTTACATACAAGCCATGCCCAGCCAGTCATATGACCACCAAGCCATACCCACAAATTAGCTACATCCACAGAACTGGTTGTTAAGAAATTTGAATCCCACCCCTACCTCTGTGTGTTTGTGTGTGTGTGTATGAGAGAGAGAGAGAGAGAGAGAGAGAGAGAGAGAGAGAGAGAGAGA